ATGTCAAAATATTTTAAATGTCTTTTCAAATATAAGTAGATTTTTATATGTTTTATCATTCGACGTCATTCGGAGGTTATTATAATACGCGTTTTTCAACAATTTTTACTTATACCATGGTTATTACTGATGGTTATTATTGATTTCGTATTTATTTTGATGTTTTGACGTGCGACATGCCTACAGTAGAATATTCACCCCCCATGATCAGTGATCAACACATCTCAAATACCGCAGATTACTCACCAGAAATGCGACAAATTTCAACGTTCAGCAGTCAATCCATATATGCGATTCCCTAGATCCCTCATCACAAATGCAGTCAACATCATACAGGAAGAGAAAAAGGGACAAAGAATATGCAGAAACAGTGGAGAAAATATAAAAGTTTTAATTGAAATAGAAAAAAGAAATTAAAAAATAGAGGCTATCTTTCGAACGAATTGAGATAGAAGGCTATAATTTTGCACACGTATTTATTTTTGCATAAGGCAGGTTAAGTTCGTAAACGGGCCATGTAGGTCCTCGTTTTCAGATAGCCCCCATATATAAGTACCTCCCGATATTCGGTATTGATTTTAGCGACATTTGTTACCGGAATTGTTTCAAATTTGGTATTTGAAGTTCGAAATAGATACTACAGACTTAGACAGAAAATTGTCTGTGCAGGTCCACCTCTTCGTCCACCATACAACAATTGATTTTAGCTACATTATTCATCGGAATTGTTTCAAATTTGGTTTTTGAAAATCGAAATGGATACTACAGCCTAAGACAGAAAATTTTCTGTGCATGTCCACGTCTTCGTATAGCCCCCATATAACGGTACATCCCTATATTCAGTATTTTGATGATTTTAGCGACATTTGTTACCGGAATTGTTTCAAATTTGGTATTTGAGATTCGTAATGGATACTACAGCCTATGACAAAAAATTCGGTATTTTGATGATTTTAGCGTCATCATTTAAGGGAATTGTTTCAAATTACGTATTTAGAGTTCGTAATGGAAACTACAGTCTGTGACATAAAATTGTCTATGCAGGTACAGGTCTTCGTATAGGCCCCATATATCAGTAACTCCCTATATTCGGTAGGTACAATACCCACCGAAATTTGTTGAGGTGTCGTATTTGACGTTCGTAATGGATGCTATAGCTTGTGACAGAAAATTGTTTCGAATTTGAATATGGTAATGGTTTATGACAAACAAGGCCTATGTAGGTCCACGTCGTATAGACCCCAATATAACGGCTATATTCGGTATTTTTAAAATTTTAACAGAATTTTTTAAGGACTTTATTTTTTGAAAATTTCCAAATTCGTTCCAAATGGTGGAGGGTATTCAAAGTTCGGCCCGGCCGAATTTATTGCTTTTTAACTTGTTCTTAAATTGTTTATTTATTTAAGTGTATTGCATTGCTTTTTGTTTAAAATCTATCCAATTTTTGCAAATATATTTGTTTTAATTGTTTTCTTTTTATTTATTAATATGCTTTGTTTTAGATATGAAATTGTTTGCTCTTATATTAATTTGTTTCTCTGCTCAAGTACATATATAAAAAGCATAAAAACTAATAAATTGTTCAATTTGTACTTTGAAAATGACCAGTCTTTACTCCATTGTTATTGTTTTCATACCCTCCACCATACTATGAAGGGTATATTAATTTTGTCATTCCGTTTGTAACTCCTCGAAATATTCATGTCAGACCCAACAAAGTATATATATTCTTGATCAGCGTAAAATTCTAAGACGATTTAGCCATGTCCGTCTGTCTGTCTGTCTGTCCGTCTGTCTGTCTGTCTGTTGTAATCACGCTATCTTTCGAACAAATTGAGATAGAAGGCTAAAATTTTGCACACATGTATTTTTTCCCAGTAGGCAGGTTAAGTTCGTAAATGGGCCATGTAGGTCCAAGTTATCATATAGCACCCATATAACGGTACCCCCCGATATTCGGTATTTTAATGATTTTAGCGACGTTATTTACAGGGATTGTTTCAAATTTCGTATGTGAAGTTCGTAATGGATACTTCAGCCCATGCCAGAAAATTGTCTGTGCAGGTCCACGTTTTCGTATAGCCCCCATATAACGGTACCCCCATATTCGGTATTTTGACGATTTTAGCTACATTATAAACAGATTTTTCTTCAAGTTTCGCATTTAAATATTGTAATAATTTATGACAAAAGTTGCCTATGCAGGCCCACGTCGTCGTATAAGCATTCGGTATTTTTAAGATTTTAACAGAATTTTTAACGGGTTTTATTTTTTGGAAATTGCCAAATTTGTACCAAATGGTGGAGGGTATTAAACAGCTTTTTACTTGTTAATATTATGGATCCATCACAAATTTTGAAAATATGAAATTGTAAATTTAAGAAGTTTTAAAGAATTAAAATATGTTTTCAAAAACAATCGACCTATTTTACAAAAGAAAAATCAAAGTAACCGTCTTATTTCTTCTGCATGACGACCAGTGGTTTGATCTGACAAGTGCATAGTTTCGTCTGGTGCGAATGATTTTTTCCGACACCTGAAAAATGTCTAACCATCTGTCGTTCACTAAGTCATTATGATTACTCACTTTTTATCACTTAATTTAAATGCAGAATCTCCAATTAGAAAAAGGGGAACATCTACATTCGATATATTTCTTTTCAATTCCGTAAATAGTTGGCATTCTTCCAACGCTTGCTTCAGAGAAGACCTTCAAGCATTTGAAAATCATTGCAGCGTCCAAGGCTTCCACAATTGACATAATTGAAACGACATCTTCAAAAGCATTAAGATTTATAATAAAAGTTAAAAACGTAAAATTACCTCGCATCCACCAAGGTAAGCAGTAAAACTGAGTAACATCCTTTACAGTTATAATATTCAGTTGCGTCTTCTTTTGGGGGATGAACCTCAATATGACAGTCATCTACATACGTATACATTATCTCTACTAATTTCAATGAATAACTACCCTGCGGGGAAATAAATTGGTTTAAAACTAATTTAAAATTTAAAAAAACCACAACTAGTTATTTTTTGATTTATTTCCTTTACGCCAACTAACTATTTTAACATGGGGATGAGCTAGTCAGTGGACAATTGTCCATTCCTGCATTACTTTGAAACTAAATATAAGCTAGTTACTTTTAAACTAACTATAAACCAATAACTTTTAAGCCAATTTTTAGTCAGTTAAAAAATATGTTAAAAAAGTTCAAAAAGTTATTTTTTTATTTATTTATTTTTTTTTGTTAATCAAATTCTTTGTTTTCTATTTGAAGGATGAGTGCTATTTTCCTGGCTGCACTGTTTTTCTAAGCATATGTACGTGTGTATTAAGGTTAACAGCACTAGCTTGTATTATTGTACGTTGCATTTATATCGAAGTATATTTGGAAATGTATTATGCGAATTAATGCAAAGTAATTTGATATAACCAATCATCTTTGTTTTTTAGGGCCGTTTTTTCTCTATGTGTTTTGTTTTTGCAATTTATTTTCGTTTTGGTGTTTGAAGTGGTTGATATCCAGATGACTTTTCAACCAATTTGAAGATAGTTGTAGAATAATGCATTTATAACTAACGATTTTCTCAAATGGTTGAAAAATGCCCCGCTGGTAAGTTAGTTAGTAAATGCATTATTCTACAACTAACTTCAAATTGGTTGAAAAGTCATCTGAATATCAACCAGTTGTGATTACTTACCTTCTGATCTCCAGATGACTTTTCAACCAATTTGTAGTTAGTTGTGGAATAATGCATTTACTAACTAACTTACCATATCTGTGTGTATACAATGGATTTATGATTATAGATTTTGACAATGAGATGTCAAATGTATGAATTTGAAAAAAAAAATTGTAAACATATGTCATGTAATCACATGACTTTACCTTCTTAATTTTACCATGGATTTTTGGTAGAAGAATAAAGGTAGTAACATCGACACAGCTACTGGGAAAATGAACTGTTAAACCAATTTTTAAAATTATCATTTTGAATGAAATGTTATTCAAATTTGTAAAAATTGTTGAAAACCATATAAAAATCCCCGATTAGTTTCATACAAGAAAACATATAAAGATGTACTTCTTAAAAAAAAATTAAAAATTCTGATGTGTCAACGTTCCCAAGAGTTGATGCATCTACCTGTATTCTTCTGCCAATTATAAAGTTGATAATGTAGAGTAACGAAGGAGTTTTGCGTTGGCCCTATGTTCGTTTGTATTTTCCGAAGAAGCCAGCCGAATTTTACAACCTCTCAACTGTCAAAATTGATATTTTCTCTTGCTCTCATGTTCTGTTCTTTTGGGATATCGAACAGCATTTTAATATTGGGTTATCGTACAAACCATGGTAGAACAATACAAGTAGTTGCATCGACACAGCTGCTGGGACAGTGAACTATCAAACCAATTTTGGAATTGAAATTTTTGAATGAAAAAAATTGTAAAAATTGTTAATATATGCACACCATAACAACCTCCGATTGGCGTCGTATAAGATAACACATATAAATCTACTTCTTTTTGAAAAAAAAAAACATAAAATATTTGACATATCAATGTTCCCAAGCGTTGATGCATCTACTTGTTTTATTCTACCATGGTACAAACCTAATAATTGTACCATCTGTCTATGGAAATGTTTGCTGTGTAATCATGTCAGTTAATTCATCAGGACTCGCCGCTGTTTAGAAATTTAACTTTTTACAAACTTATTTGATTCCACATATTTATTTGTTTTGTAACTTCCTCATGCCATATCCCGTTAATTCGCTTTCTTAATAGTGGCCACTTACCATTATTTTTTCGCGAATTGTGGCAGCCCTGGAACCATGCTTTTTTATGAACCTATAAACCCCTTAACCCTGTTTGTTTTCCATCTTCGTATTCTTAAGTCGACATTTTGTTTTGATTCTTCATCTTTATCTCCATCTGCCCCCATCTCCTATTTTTCTTTAAGAGATGCCATATCGGCGCATAATGATATGGTTATTGTTATTCTTCATTCCATCCTAAGAAGCGTCGGTTTGTTGTATTTGTAGTTATTATATTTATTAATTTATTATTTACAAAGGAACGAATATATCTGGAAAATAAAAAGATATATAAAAAGAGGACATGTCTTCTAAAATGCCGGTTGACATTAATCGGCTCACTGAAGGCTGGCTCGAATTAGAATCAGATCCGGGGCTATTTACGTTGCTGCTAGAAGATTTTGGTGTACAGGGTGTTCAGGTGGAGGAAGTATACGATTTGCAAAAGCCAATCGAAGGCCCAGTGTATGGTTTCATCTTTCTCTTTCGATGGATTGAAGAAAGGAGAGCACGTCGGAAAATTGTCGAAACAACAGCCGAAATATTTGTCAAGGATGATGAGGCTGTTGCAAACATATTTTTTGCACAGCAAGTGGTTCCAAACAGCTGTGCAACGCATGCACTGCTTTCAGTTTTGTTAAACTGTGACGAGTCCGATATTCATCTTGGAGAGACGTTAGGAAGGCTGAAGAGCCATACTAAGGGCATGTCACCAGAAAATAAGGGTTGGGCCATTGGCAACACACCTGAACTGGCCTGTGCTCACAACTCACACGCTATGCCACAAGCAAAACGACTACTGGAGCGAAATGCTGGCTCAGGCGTATCAACGGGGCGATTCACTGGTGAAGCTTTCCATTTTGTAAGCTTTGTGCCGATTAATGGACATCTTTTTGAATTGGATGGTTTGAAACCGTATCCAATGGACCATGGTGGTTGGGAAGAATGTGAAGATTGGACAGATAAATTCAGACGCGTTATGGCAGAACGTCTAGGCATTGCTACGGGCGAACAGGACATCCGTTTCAACTTAATGGCTGTGGTACCAGATAGACGAATTGCAATAACTCACAAATTGAAAATGTTACGAACCAACCAGGCAATAGTTTCCGGAACCCTTCAAAAATTACTTAAAGCAAATGAAGCAACATCTGATGGAACAACCTTTAAGACTGAAGAAAATGGAGAACAAGCGACATCTCAACAGCAAGCGCAGGCAAGAAGTGTATCGCCATCTCCACTTTTAGATGCATCAAACGCCTTTACCGTAAGAGATTTGCAATCTCTTCTAAAAAACCTCGACTCGGAGATAGCTATTAACGAGCAGCATTTAAACGATGAAAATGATCGTCGATATATGTTTAAGGTAAGAGTCCTGTTAGTTGGTATTTTATTCTCGTATATTTTATTTCAAATTGCACTGCATATTTTAAATCATTGAGATAAGTTCAACGCGTGTTGATTTACTACAGAACCAATTTACACTCAATATCATACTGCACACATTTTAGTTGTTTTTCTATATACATTTTTGTTGCAGTCGACTTGGTACATCGTGGGAAATCAGTAAAAATCCGGGATATCAAAGTTATTTTTGCATTAAACGTTACATATACTGAACGCGATGCCATAGTGTTTTGTCTGCAATTCATAGGCTACTTCCCGATTTTCAGTATGTTGAAGGAAGCATCCCCTCAAAAATTGTTCAATGTAGACCTCCCTTTGGAATATACCTACCACCCTTGGAAGAGAATAAATGAATTCCTCAAGATGTTACGATACATAATTTAACTACTTAAAAATTCATTCGAAATATCTAATTTTTGTTTAGGTTTACAAATACAGGGTGGGATAAAAAACTGCAACAAAGACAAACGCTATAATCTTTACATTTTTTTAATGTTATTGAATGAAAGCAAAAAATGTCGGAAATAGCATCAAATTTTAGAATAAGTTTAGATTTGTTCGAATTGGTCACCTTTGGCACGAATTATGGCCTTCAAACGGACAATGAAACCGTCACACGTATGGGTTGCTTGAGGTGATCGGCACTTTGGTATTTTTTTTTGTGCCAACCTTGCTGTCCAAACTACTCCAGACACAATTTGGTGGCCATTGTGCACTGGAAATGAAGTGAGGAACCTCATTTTGTAACCATTGACGAAAAACCAATTTCGGCAGTTCACCACTTTCGGCCATGCGTACAACTTCTTAGCTCTTTTGAGTCTATTTTTTGGTTTGCAGTTGATTTAATTTTAAACCTACTTAAAATAAATTTTTTTTTTTTTTTATAAATCTAAAAGTTTCATGTGATTTGCAAAAAGTTTCATTTCCGGTGCAAAAGGTTTCACTTCGGTTGCAAAAGGTTTCATTTCCGCTGCAAAAGGTTTAATTTCAATTGCAAAAGGTTTCATTTAATCTGAAAATGGTATATAAAGAAATCTCACTATCACGCTTGAATTCCATCACGAAAAACTTTTTTTTCTGGAAAATTCTCAATTCTTGTACGCTTGTAAACAATTTAATGAGTTGTTACTGCAATAATTTTAACAGCTTTCGGACGAGTGGCTTAGAAATGACAGCAGTCTAAATTGGTTGCATTTTTTTCATGTCACCCTGTATGATATTGCTCGCCTTCAGTACAAGTTGTATTTATAAGGTGACACAGTTAAGCCAGCTTTTGTCAATACACATTGTTTTAATTGAAAATACAAAATTAATAATTTTGTTTTGAAAAAATTGACCCTCATGGCACAATGAAGATAAGGTAGGAGAAGTTAGAGAAGGTTGCAAGAGTTCTGGTTCTCAGATAATATTCCGATGCCCACCCGCTTCGTGGGTCGGTGTCGCATTTTATAATTATCTATATTCTATTTGTCATCGTCGACACAAGTCAACGGCATTTGTTGTGAATCAGTATTCTGATACGAGGATGGATAACTTGTTAAAAGCTTTAAAATATCATTAAGTGGCGGCAATGTTAAAGGGTTTTTATACTAAAAAAATAATAATAAAAAAATAAAAATACTAATATAAGGTATGTACGATAACCCAATATTTTGTACAAAATGTTGTTTGGTTACCCAAAAGTCCAGTAATGAGAACGAGTAAAGAGAGCAATTTTGAAATTTTTAGTAAATTTTGTTGGGTACTAACGTGGACCAAGGGTAGGAGGGTTTTATATCTATCAGTTCGTACCTTCTTATTCGTTACCTTCTAAATCTTTATTGCAGGTAGATGACTGCCGGCGAACGCATAACTATGACGAGTTTATTTGTGCGTTCTTATCTATGCTGGCCCACCAGGGTGTTTTGGGCGAACTTGTAAGTCAACATTTGCTTCCATCTAAGAAAATTGGCGGCCAAAGCGCAGTTAATCGCATTAGTAAACAAACCAGTGCCAGTAGTGTATCACAGCAAAAGAATGGCAAATCTCCAAAAACTCCAGGACGAAGAAGAAAAGGACGAAACAAATGCAAAAAACGAAAATAATTTACCACTGAACTACCAACTACATCATAATATATAGACGTATAAAGTAGCGTGACCACATTGCAAACCCCAGCAGATCAGAACACTGGAACAAAGTAAAATACAACAGCGTATAATATAGTTATAAAATAATTTAATTTTCATGTGATTAAATTACTAAACGGCCGTTAGATATAAGGAAAATTCTTGTTTGTTTCATAATAGGTTTTCTCGAAAGAAAAAAAGGTGCAAAAAGTAAACGAACAGCAAATGTTTTGTAAGGTATAGACATTTTTGAAGCACATCTTAACACCAGAAATATTTTGATGCAATTTATTTGTTTTTTACGTTTTAAGAACAAAAAGCAATGGATCATAGAAACATTCGAAAAAAGTCTCAAAATGTCTTTCTCAATTCGCTCTCACTTGGTTTCTTGTTCTTAATGTAATGCTTGTAATGCCCTTTTTCGTTGACAATTGTAACATTGTTGTTTTTATTTATTGGTAGAATCCATATGTTTGACACTCTATTCATTTCCCCATTTAATGGTCACTAGCAAGTGGCCGCTACTTCGTCAGCGAAAAATCCACGATAAAATTTAGATTCAATCTTTTAGTACTCTTTTTTTTTTTTTTTGAATAAAAAATCTGCTAATCTTAACTTAATAGATCATATTTAATGTTCAGACTTTCAAGTTTTTCTCTGTTCGGAAAGAATAATAGGAACATTTTTATCTTTTACACCAATAAGGCTTCAAAATCTTTCATTTTGAAGTTGACCGAGGATATTAGTAAAACCATAGCATCCAATTTTTCTGTCCAAATCTATTTCAACGTCTTCATATGTGAACCCAAGAAACCAAATTTTAGAATTTCAGCTCTATTCCAGTAGCAAATTTAGTAACACTTAGCACGGATATCCATAACAATCCTCACACTCCATCCTAGACACTAGCAGCGATTCAAAATTATTACCATGTAGTACTTTTCGAACAATTATGCAGGGTGAGATGAAAAAACTGCTACCAACTTCAGACTGTTATTCGTGGTGGAATTCTCGGGGTAAAGCCATTGTAATTCCAAAGAGGGGAAGAACTTACACCACAACAGAAATAAAATAGTCTCAAAAGAGCTAAAGAGTTGCTTCGCTTGGTTTTCTCGATGGGAAAACATTCGTTGTCCAGCAGTTTGTAAACAAATCGTGTTTACTTGCCAAAGAGGTCATTTTGGCCGCAGACCTTGGACATTCCACTAGGACTCAGCACCATCGGAGTCTGCATGCGCCAACCAAGAATGTTTACAATATGAGGTTCCCCGCTTCATATCCAGCGCACAATGACCACCAAAATCTCCGTATACCAATCCGTTTGACTATTGTGTCATGAGTATTTTAGGAAAGCAAGGTTGGCACTAAAAAATACCAAAGTGTCAATCACCTCAAGCAAGCGGGAATGAGCCAAATTACCGCAGAGCAACATTCAGGCAGCGTGTGACGATTTAATTTGCCGTTTGAAGGCCATTGTTCGTGCCAAAGGTGACCAATTCGAACAAACTCAAACTTATCCTAAAATTTGATGCTATTTCCGAACTTTTTTTGCTTTCGTTGAATAAAAATTTAAAAAAGTGTAAAAATTATGGCGTTTAACTTTGTTGCAATTTTTTTATCTCATTCTGTAGTACACACTTCCAAAACTACACCCATGTTTCAACACCAGACACCAAGAGAGACCCCAATATCAAACTACGAGATTCCAGCACGACACATTCACTCAATACCAAATTTAGTATAATTTTGTACTTTTCGTATAATTTTAATACATGTTTCCAGAACCATCTCTATATCTCAATCACGGAACAACATTAGTTACATTCATTTCAAACGTTAGGGTATCAGCTCTTACACTTTCCCCCATTACTAATTTTTTTTTCAATTTAGTACTTTTCGAACAACTTTCGGACGCATTTCCAAACCCTCCACCTCCATATCTGAACCGCAGATCCCAATAGTGACATCTATATCAAATTTCAGAATTTCAGCTCTATTCGTTTACCCAATACCAAATTAAGTACAATTAAAAACTTTCCGTACAATTATGGTACATATTTCCCAAATCACTATCATATCTCAATCCCAGATACCAACAGTGACCTCAAGATTAAATTTCGAGAATCCAACCTGTCCCTTCACCGAATACCAAATTTAGTACCACTTAGTATTTTCTTTACAAATTAAGACCAATAAATATCAAATTTCGGAATTTAATTTCTATCCCTTCACCCAATACCAAATATTGTACCATTCAGTATTTTTCGCACAATTAATGTACACATTTCCCCAATATGTCCAGGCTACACATGAACAGCGACCCTAATTCCAAATTTTAGATTTCAAGCACTTTCTGTTCACCCAAAGCCAAATTGTACCAAACGTAATACTATTTAGTACTTTTCGTGCACTTGTAGTACACATTTCTAAAACCACATTTTAATTACGAACCTACTACCAACAAGGACCCCAATACAAAATATCAGCTTCATTCATTCACCCTAAACCAAACTGTACAAATAAATTTAGTACATTTCCCTCACTTAGTACACATTTCCAAAACCACCTTCATATATCAAACTTACTATCCAACGTTAATTCTCATAAAATTTTTCAAGTTTTCAGCTCTATTCGTTCACATTATACCAAATGATACCATTCTAGAAGTTTAGTAACATTTTAGAACATTTCCTAAATTCAAAGTTCGAATTTCGAAAATCGCTTTGGTGCACAGAATTACAGCTCCATCGGTTCATCAGAATTCCAATGGGTACCAAATTTTGGGTCATTTAGTACATATAAGTACATACTACCTATTTACCCCAATCCTACACTCCGAAAGTAATCTTATTTCCAAATTTCAGTTATATTGGTTCACCCATATTCAAATTGTACCAAATTTAGTACCATTAAGTACAAATTTTCGTAACTACACTACAACTACTATTTACATCATACAGTCCAATAGAAATCTTATTTTCAAATTTCAGTATTCCAACTCTATTGGCTCTCCCAAAATTAAAATTGTATAAAATTTAATACTATTTGTTACACATAGGTACGAATTTCAAAACTACCTTCATTCCTCAGTGCTCGAAAGCGAAAGTAATCTTATTTCTAAATTTCAGAGTTCCAGCTTCATCAATTCACCCAAATCGAAATTGTACCAAATGTAGTACCATTTAGTACTATTCGTGCACATAAATACATATTCCAGCTCCACCCGTTTCTTAAAATTCAAATTGTACTAAATTTAGTACAGTTTAGTACTTATCGTATACATGAGTACACACTTCCAAAACTGCCTCCTTATATCGACCCTATTTGTGTATTGATTCCCATTCCAAATTTTAGCTCTAACCGTTCACATGATACGAAATGGTACCAAATATAGTACATTTTAGAACTTTTCGTACACCTATAGTGCGAATTTCCAAAAAACCTTTGGCACATCTAGCATACACTCCATCACTTGCATACACCTTCATTCCAAATTTAAGGATTTTAGCTCCACTGCTTCCTCAAATACAAAGGGTACCATATTTAGTACAATTTAATACTTTTCGTACCGTTCTAATACGAACGTGCAAACACCCATCTTTCCATGGTATAAATCGTATATGTGGAATATGATACTCACCTTATAGTGTCCCGATCAACCATATTCCACATATAAGCCTTTATATTCATAACTGCTTATGATTATGATCAATGCAGTGTGGGTAAGTTTATATATTTATTTCTCTTCAAAATTTACAGATTTTTGACCAGAAAATACAATTAGGAACCACTGTGCGACGTTCGGTGTTGCCTCGCATCGAAACGTAAACATAAGTCCTTTTAACACCCTTCATCATCTTTAAGTCGAACCATCATGGTTAAGTTTATGTATATGGCAAAAGCTTCGGCGTATATGTACATATTTAATCTTATCACTTTGATTTATATGCTTCCACACATTGACAAATTAGTTTTCCGCGTCCACAACAACGTGTTACTATTAAAGCTATTTTACAGGTCACGCTTCTCACTACAAAATGTTATTCGTTTCCTATGATGGTGTTGTTAAAAAAAAAACAATCTGGTGCTAGTCCAAAAGAGTGAGAAACATAATAAAATATACTCCAAGTTATAGTTCAAATGTATTTTTAAAATTGTTATACACGTACATATGGACTAATGTAAAGAAACAAGGAATCTTGAAATTTATAAAGTTTCAGAAGGTGGTGGTGCTTGTGCATTGCAATCTGTGGGTTTTTCGTTTTGGCATTTTTTGTCCGTCAAATTAAAGTACCCTCCTTTGCATGTCATTAAAAGTGCGTCCATTCCGTCATCGAATTTCTCGCAGTATATGTATCTATTTGGAAAAGAGCAAATTAGTGAATTTCTTTGTAACAATCTTCTGAAGGTGAACTTATACATACGTTTTACAGTCAGCATCATCAGCGTTTTTGATAACGAAGTTGTTTTGATTGGGATGATCGGCCTCTGCTGTTGTGCACTGTTCTTTTAGACGGCCTACGTCAATTGGTGCTATGGTCGTTGTAGTGGTAGTTGGCTCAGCATTGTTACATGTCGCAGATACCTCATACTAATTGAATATAATTTACTTTAAACATGCTTTATTTTTGATTTATTTGCAAACACTTACGAAGTCGGCCACACATTGTGGGGCACAAATTGCTCCGGTTTTTTCGTACAATTCAGCGCTACATATGTGTCCATTTTCGCAAGCACTGACAATTGTTATTGCCCCATTGACACAACGTCCAAATTTAGTTTTACTAACGCAAGTGTAGCGTCCTGTTGTTGGGCATTTGTTACAGGATCCGCCACAGACTGGATTGTTCACGACATTATTTTCACCGTTTTTGGGTTCGCATATATTTTCGCTTGTTGTACAAACCTGACCCTCTTCACAATGATGTAGCTGTGCCTTTGATGGATTTTTTCCATCCAAGCATAGATAATATGAAGTTTCATCCACACAATAGGCTTCGTTGGTTGTCATGCACACTTGACATTCCTGGGAATTTTAAAAAGAAAGGTACATCAAAAGTGAGTTGTCATTAGTTGCGCTTATTTACGCAAAAAATGTCATATTCAAAAGCGCACTTGATGATATCCTGAAAGCTCTGTATGCTCAAAAGACAATGTAATCATTTATGAATTCCTCACCATCACGATATTGATGTCCGTAATGCTCCTAGCTAGGTATAAAATTTGTAGTTGAAAAAGCGTATGGTATTCCTGCAAAATCGACACTTGTCGAGTAAATAAGTGATGTAATACAACTGGTGTGTCACAGCACGTCTCAAACGATCATTTTTTTATGAAAACTGAGCTTCTGTTGCGGAATAGGACACGTTGTCAAACACTATGAATTTAGCTCAATATTTTAGAAAATCGGAGGCAAATTTCACATTTTATCAGAGCAATTTCGTACTTAACTCAAGTCTAAAAATTACGATGATGGAGGTTTCCGTATCCCTTTTATATCATCGGTGAACTTATTCTGGCATCATGCCAATTTGGTTGAAATTGCGTACATTGGAATATATACAATAGATTTCGGTCCTTCTAATAGCTCCCTATAGCTCCCTTACAACGACTAAATATTTTCAATATTCATAACTTTTTTTTTTAACTTGAAAATTATATAGCCATGTCCGTCGGTCTGGCCGGACGATGCACATGATAACCTAGCTTGTATCAAATTGGATACTCCCGTTGACTGTTATTGTACGCAAGACACAAGACGCAAGACTGTTATTCGACCAAGACAGACAAACAGGCAGGGCTAGATCGACTTCAAATGGCATGATACGGAGGGAACCTTTTGGCAATATAAAATGGTAAATATTCCCTGTGGCTATAAGACTATGCATATGAAAATGTAAATAGCAATGAAGGATTGCGATAATATTAAAGTTAAGTACAAACACTTATATAAATCACTTACCGATTCACACAAGGATATGTGGAAAATACCACAAATCAGTGCCACCAAAAATAATACTGAGAGGGCTTTCATTTTTGGAAATTCTTTGACTAATGTCTGATCGTACTGATTACAATTGAAAAATTTAATCACCTTTTATCCATTTTTTAGGTATACAATATTTTTATTTTTATCTTTATTGCTATAATATCAAAAGTGATTTATTGGCACGGAATTCTGTTTAATTTCATTTATTAGCCGAAATCAGTAGAATTCGATATAGTGCAATAATATTCAATGTCATTTCAACTTGAGTAAATATGGGAAGGTATCATTAACAAGCAGTAACAAACCCCACAATAGATATATTGGAACGAATCCCAATTTTAATTATTTCCAAATTATTTTTTGTTATTATAGGCGCATACCTAATGTTTAATGTTTTCATAAAAAAGTTGGCCATTTATGTAGGTACATAAATATTACCAAATACGTCTAGCATTCAAAATTAAATCGAATAAATAAAAAAAAAATTAAATTTGCTGAATACTTTTGAGGTAGAAAGATAGTTTTATTCTCTTAGTTGTTTCAATAATTTTTTTCATTAATGCAATTGAAAAGTTGTTAAAATTGATTTTGTTATTGTAACAAAAAAAAAGCAAACAAATAAATTTCTTGTAAAATAAACAATAAATTAATTTATTAAAAAGTTACAGAATAGGTCTACAGCTACCGGTGAAAATTAAACTGCAAATGACAACTTTATTTTGCAGAGCACGGGTAATTGTTTTGATAGTTTATCAGGTAGTTATGTCTGTATGTTGCTTTTTTACCGCACTCTAATTATGTTACAATTAATACATGTTTTATTACACATTTTGAGTAAGTCATTGCCAATTTTGGTATTAAAACAATCGGAGTTACATAATTTATTATAAGAATTCTCAAGTGAGTGCCTAATTTTAATGTTGTTATGATTTACCCATTGTACAATAAGAAGGTAAGATAGAGCTACCAGTTAACTACAATTGTTTTCTAAGTGTGTCCGACCTCTGTCAATTTTATGTATTGTTTTGAAAAATAAAAACAAAATATTTTCAATCAAATTTTAAAAAGTGAGGAAAATTATTAGGAAAAATACAACTTCTTGCATATAATTTTGAATAATTCTGACAGGAAGCGGGCATAGTCTAAGCGCTGTATTTCTGTGGTTTTACGAACTACTTAACTAAAAATTCGTTTCACATTTGCAATGATCCCTTGTGCAAATTTAGATCAAATTGAAAAAGTCGGAAGTTTTTTTTCCAAAATTATTTTTTAATTTTCAATTTTTTTTTTCAAATTGTAGAAAGTTTAAGTTTAACTTTTACGTTAGAACTTTGTGTAGGGTAGGGTAACAGATGGTAGAATTAAGCAATCTACTGAATATAATTTGTTTCTTTTGGTGCCCTTATTCTGTCAACACATATACACAGTTTTTATATGTGTGTGTATAATTTTCAATACAAAGAAAAAAATTTGAAATTATTTTAAATTCAGTTGCAAAAGGAATGTATGTTATTGATATTAATGGGATAAAACAATATTGCCCCCTTATCTTAGACCCAATGTTCCATTCATATGTTAAATAAACAAAACTAGAGGTTGAATGTTTAAATATATATTTGACACAATAAGACTAAAATACAGAGTTGCACTTTCTTGTTGCTTTGAAGTTAAACTACCTTTCTTTTTGAGCCATGAGTAAACCTACTTTGAAGGGATTTATTTGAAGTAAAACTAATGGATTTGAAAATGTTATCCAAATCCAGTGGGTTAACTCATTTATATGAAAACATACTGCATGTTTCTGAAAGTATGAAAATCTTTAATAATATCTGAAAAATAATTATTTTTCTTTTTCATTGCTCTTTCAGGATCCATAAGTTTAAAACACTAAATGAATTTAAACCAAAATCAAAAAGTTTCAATATTTTATTTGCAAGTTCTATTCAATTCTGTGATGTTTTGTTTCGGAAACATCAAAATGTACTTCATTATATTCTAAAAAATTGTTGGTGTCCATAAAGTTAGTTAAATGAATATTATCTCTTCTTGTCCTGTTTTAAAATTCGACCTTCTACATATGATCATCAGCATAGAATTTAACTTTTACCATGAAGAGAAGGTAGGCCAACTTTGAAAAAATTGCAAGTATAGAGGTCTACCTGTTTGGCTTGTAATGTCAGAATTAATATCAAAATAATAAAAAATCAAACAACTTATTGCATTTATTTTGAATAAATAATTGAAAACCGCGATAACTGAATGAAAGGTCAACATTTCTTTTCAAAATCATGTACTAAAGGATTATTTCGCTACAAAAACTCTAGATTTTGTCGATGCATTCAAATAAATAAAGATTTTGAAAACACCCGAATTTGAATGTTTTCTAAACAATTTTTTGTTATTGAAAAGAAAACACATACATAAACAAATAAAGATGACATATTAAGCCAAGAAAATAAAAAAATTAAAATCATTGGTATCATAGCCCTACCTTATTATCATTGTAATATGACTTACCGTTTCGTCGCTTTAAAATCCGGATTTTAAAATCATGAATCTTTGAAAAGATAAGCCGGCTCTCTGAATTCGGACGATTATGAAAAGATAATCTGATGTAAGAGAACTGGTGGGCTGCTAAATTCATTACATGTTGGGTAAGCATAGCAACTAACGGCTATGGCAACGCTGATCCCATTTGGTTACTACCTAGGACAGAATAACAAAACTCCTGTTGGACATTAAAATCGCTTAATACCAGGTGGTTAGCCATGTTTACTAATAGTGGAATCTCAGACTCTCCATGCTTTTATTATTACGGCTAATAAAATTCAATAACGGTTTCTATAAAGTAATTGCAAAAGAAGGTCAACACATTGGAACACCTTTTTATGACTTACTTGATAAAAACAAAATGAATCAGTAACAATCTTATCGAATGTATGAACCACATCGTATGTACATTTATGACAACATTGTTAACTTTCTGGGTATTCAAGAATCTACTAGTTGTACTATTTTGCCGTACCGTATGCCATTCTGGTATGGAGTGACGAAATCTTGTTGGAAAAGTTTAAAACGCACGAGTAATATAAAAGTACCAACACGCATTGCTCTAAATGTATTAAATTGGCGACGCCATTTACCAAATATGAAAAAGGAAATTCACAATTTATATATATATATATATATATATATATATATATATATATATATATATTTTTTTTTTTTTTTTTTTTTCGCATAGCCCCATATAACGGTATTTAAATGATTTTAGCGAAATTATTTCATGGTTCGTAATGGCTGGTACAGCATATGACAAACAATTTTCGTATGCAGTTCCACGTCTTTGTATAGCCATAACCACGACATCTTATGCCCATACGTTTTCGTATAGTCCCATATAACGGTATTTAAATGATTTTAGCGAAATTATTCACCGGAATTGTTTCATGGTTCGTAATGGGTAGTACAGCCTGTGACAAAAATTTGCGTATGCAGTTCTTATATCCATCGTAAAATTAAGAAGTCAAAGGTTCTCCGATTTCGGTGTTTACGATGCATTTATAAATATAAATTTTGACAATGGGATGTTGTCAAATAAATAATTTTGAAAAAATGGTAAACATATGCTTGCAAGACTTAACTTTCTTAATATTCGTCGGAATTGTTTCTAATTTCGTATTTGAAGATCGTAATGGGTACTACAATCAATTTTGAATGAAAAATTATTTAAAGTTGTAAAAATTTGTTGAAAAATGCAAATCATAACAACCTCCGATTGGTGTCGTATAAATGGATAAACCCACTGGATTTGGATTAAAATTGTCGTATCCAATATTTATACTTCAAAAGATCCTCTTAAAGTAGGTTAATCCTGCAAAAAGTGTTCGAAAATAACTTAAAACTCCTTTGTTGCCCTAAAAGCAGCCAGCCAATGACTTAAGCCAGTTAAAAAAAAACCTTTTATGTACTCTCCCCCTTAAGGTGACAATCCATAAAACGCTTTTTTGACTGGCTTAAGTCGAAGGGCCAAATCGAACTAGGTCAACCTTCAACTTTATACTTGATCACCCTGCGCTGCTTTGTTCTTTACAAAAAAAAAAAACCTGTCAGCAAAGCGCTTTATGTATTCTCAATTTAAAAGGCTTTTTTACTGACTAACAAAGGAACATCCTACGTTCCAAGTATAAATTATTGGTCGAAATTGAACTGAGTCAACCTAAAACTCTTTTGTTCTTTTACGAAGAAGACAGCCGACGACTTAAGCCAGTAAAAAGGGCTTTTATGTATATGCACCTTCACTTTGAAAATCATGGTAATGTTGCAACAATTACGTACGGATTTTGGAAGAAGAGTGGCAGTGTTAGCTCCTTATGTAAAAGCAAAATTGCATACATTGGATCATGGGGTGGCCTTTACATTATTGGGCATATTGAACGAATTTTTGTTCACAAAGATTAAATAGGAGGATATGGGCAATATTTGTTTTCAACAGAACAACGCTTCCTAAGATACACTCGATTTAAAAAATATATTTTACATATTTAATTAAAAGAGTGGAAATGGGCTTACTGCGTCAATTCCATTGCCTACACGTTACATCTGCAATCCAGTGCATACGCAATCAAATTGACGGTTGAAATCCACTGGTTTTATTAGACTGCTAGAAAATATTTGTGAATCATAGTTGCATTCGAAAAAAATTTACCATGTGTAAATCGCAAAAGTTTGGTAAAAACTGCGAATTCCTTGCAATTAAAGGCGAAGACAATTGATTCCAATTTTTAAAATATTTTTTTTATATTATATATTTGCATATATAGACGAATTCAACTCAACAAAATATAATAAAATGTTACATTATAATTTATTCATTGTCCACAAAACAAATTGAACACACTCTAGTTGCCACGGATTGCGAATACAATCGCCAATTTTATAAAAATGACAATTACAGAATAAAATTGATTCAATTATAAAAGAAATAGAAAATTTTGTTAAAAACTACATCTATTTTCAGTTTTATTTTTATTATTTTCGTACGTTTTTTTATTGCAATGTATAAAAAATGGGTTTGGTTTAAATACAATGCTGCCAGTGCGTCATCATTTCTGTAGTTTTAATAGCTTTGTAAACAAGTAGCAATGCTTATTGAGATTAAATCTAAAGATGGCTAAATAAAAGATGATAATAAAACAACTCATTATTTTGAAGAAAAATCTTTTTCTTATTCTGTAAACAAAATTGAAGAGCAATAAGCTCTCATAAAAGAAATCAAATAAAAAAAAAAACAATAATATATGTGTGGATTTGGAGCTTTCTTCTCATTCTGGTAGGTAGCACACAAACCAAATGTGATTTAAAAGTAGTAGTTGTTCTTGTGTAGGCAACATCTTCATTTGGATATCGCCCGGCCCTATTGTTGTAACATTAATCTAATTAACAATATATTTATGTTCGTATGCAGATGTGGGTATATGATGTAGTTGGTGTTTTCGACGACTGTGAATGGAACTCCTCATGTTCAAAACAATCTTCTCACATCCGAAGACTTTACAGCAAACACTTTCCATTATTCAAGGAATATGGGTAGATATAATTAGTTATAAATTTAGGATTACAATTAGTCTGGCTGAATGTTTTCTTTGTGGAAATTCAACTAGATGCAGTCGGAGTCTGTTCATCCGCTGCGGTGCTCGTTGCATCGCTGCCATTCGTCAATGTTGTCTGGGAGTTGGCATCATTATCAGTCGCAGCATTAACGGCCAATTTCTTAAGCGCCTCAGTTGTCTCATTTACCTCATTTGTGTCCTTCAAACGCTTCTCAATTTCATTTTTAACTTGGGCAATATCCTTTTGGCTATAAAAAGATAACAAATGTAATGCTTAAAGATGCTGAATCATATCATATTTCTATTACCTTATTTGAACAAATAAAACACCATTTATGGTATTGAGCATATCCAACACAGATCCCATTGTGGGTGGTTGTATATGGATTGGAGGCAGCCCCGTTGTGAGTTTTCCATTAGAATATATGTCATTCATTTTACGTTGCAAAAGCACTGCTTGTTGTGTAAGAAGTCGCAGACATTCGGCCGATTCACGAGTCTTTTCATGAGTCTCGCCCAGCTAATTAAGATTTGTAAACAAATTAATAAACAAACAAGTTTCAACTTAGTTTTAAACCTACTTGTGACTTATAAATGGCATATGTTTCTTTTTCATTATTTAAGGCAGAACGGAAATCTCCCATGCATGATTGTGTCCTGGCCACCAGATGATAGCTAACAGCTACATGCATCGACTTGTTTCCGTAGTATTTCAAATTAAGTTTTAAAGCATGTTCAATAAAACGTAGAGACAGTTCATACTGACCGACGGCGTGCAAAATCAAGCTGATATTACTCTGGAAAGAAAAAAGTTGTAGTTTAGAATTAGCTTACCAACAAGATATGCTTAGCGAACTAAATCAAAGCGTAATCGTTCTGATCCATGTTTGAAGTAACTAACGTATTTGAAAACATATATGACACAGAGAACTGTGCAATAAATAAAATGTGAACATCTATTCACAAGGAACTTTTGCATCGTACTGACGCTAAAGTCCCCTCATTAAGTTTTAAATCATTAATATTGTAGACCCATCCCTCTTTCTACATTTCTTTTAAACTTACATCGATAAGTGCAACTTCCGGATGATCTTCACCACATATCAACACCAGCAAATATCTAGCACGATACAGTAATTTTAAAGATGTGCTCACTTGGCCATTAGCAAAGCAGTAAAGGGATAAATGTGTCTAAAAAAGAGGAAGTATATGTGAGGTAAAAATGACTTTGTTCAACTGAAAACATAATTTTGGCCGTCACTTACATATTCTAAGATAGTGCATGGATTATCGATGCCGTTAACACGTTCACTCATAATAACTGCTCTTTGTTGTATGGCCAGGGCTTCTTGGGCATCGCCCAACAAATAGCTAAGTCGTGCCAGCATACGAAGGCAAGAGCGATTCTCTGAATGCATAGCTCCGAAAACATTATTCAACAAATTTAAGGCCTCGCTTATCAGCTCGTAGCCTTCTTTGAAAAGGCCCTGCTGGATCTTCGATTGACCCGACATATAGAAGTTATAAGCATCGGATGCCCGAGGGTTGATGTGCTTTACAATGGGGAATACATTAAGAACGTCCTCTTCCGTGAATGTGGATTTATTGCGTGACTCAAAATTGTATTCACGAAGTAATATTTGTATGCCCACTTTCAGGCAGAAGGCACGAAGTATGCTCACTCTTTGTAGTGAGTATTTTTCGATGGCAGTTTCTATGGAATCACAGCCAATGTCAAAGTCCCAATAAGATTTGGCCTCTTTTTTGATTTGTTGCCACAAAGTCTTTGGTGTCATAAGAGCCCAATCGTTGTTATCATTGTTTGTTGCCTGGCCATTCTTTTGGCTGTTTTTACCGGTTGTTTTGTTTTTGTTCTTTCCGCGCTTAGTACTGGCGTTGTTGTTATTGTTCTTATTTAATTCCTCGGAGCCGGTGTTGGGGTTCGCGGGGCCAGACGAAAGGAAGCAGTTCAAAAAGTGACTTATTGCAGCCGACAGATGCATGGCATCGGTATTCTGCATATACGCATAGTAAATGTGTTTGGTAGCGCGAATAATTAATTCCATAACCGAAATGCGATGCAAATATTCCATGCGAGGCACTTCGGCCAGCATTGTAATTACTTTACCCAAATAGCGTACATTGATGCCATGACTATGGAGAGCTTCAGTAACACTAGTGCCGTCCATAGGAGGCGATGTGTGGCTCATGTGTTCTTTTATGAAGGCAGGGATCTGTTTCAAAACCAAAAATTCTGCAGCTTCTTGCACCAATTTCTTTTGCTTAGCCAATGAGTTACTACCTTCTTTGTCATCCACGTGGCGTATGCCGGGTGAGAAGACATCTGGGTTAAAACGAAAGTCGAATTCTTTCTCCTTTAGAGAACCAACAGCAGCGCAAGCTCGTTTAACGACTTCGGATGCTTGTGTTTCATCAGCAGTTGCCACACTTGATTGAGCCTCTTTGATTGCATCGTAGGCGTTTTCAATAGCTTCATTGCTCGACAATTTATTTTCACTGTCGTCTTTCTTTTGATCGTTTTCACTTTGTGTTTCGTTTTTGGTTTCTTCTTCCTTCTCTGTGATGGAAGCTGTTGCTTCCTTTTCTTGAGATTTCTTATTTGCATTCAGTTGCTGCAAGTGCTGAGCAGCATTTCTTATAAAACTAACATAACGATCTTCAATAAATGCTTCCAGCAATTCCTGGCGCAAGCAAGACAATTTGTGCTTATGTTCAATGGGGAAACCCATGGCTTTCAGTTCGGGACATAATTCAATGTCCAATTTTAGGAAGTTAACGTCTGGTGGGAAAGTTCGCAACAAATCTAAAATGTAGTGGCGGCCGTCATTGCCTATTATACCCTTACATTCTACCGACGAACATAACTCGACGGGTTCGTCTCTTTCATTCAGAACAGAATGCGGTAAGATTTTCAAATGTTTTCCAGCTTTGCGGAGCAACTCCAAATATTTGGGATGGGAGAGTACAGTCTTGCCGAAATCAATGCTTCCATATACTACTGATTGTTCTTGGTCTCGTTCCAAAATTCCAGGAATAATCGATTGAGCAGTTACCCGATATCCCCGATAGTCCACCACCACGGTACCCAATGTGTACAATCCCTCAACGTCGACGGCGCTGTATACGCGTACGCCATGTAAATCGTTGCGCGGTGCTACAAATGCTGCAACATCGCCTCCCAACTCCTTGTAGTGGTCACGCACATCGAAGCCAAGCGAAAAGAAAATATTATTCCAAATAAACATCTGCATCTTGGGATCTTCTCCTGGATTGATGGCTAGAACATTGCCATCAATTACTGCCATGGCTCCCCTAGTAGCAGCAATAACAAAGTCACCATGAACCTTAAAAATAGCGCGTTCACGCAACAGACGTTCTGGCAACGTTTTTCTGGGCAGTTCCCTGGTGGTCTGGAGTTCTTCATTCCAATCCCTAGTTTGTCCGGGAATATGTTCCTCATATCTGAAAGAGATAAGTTGAAAACAGCATTTGCAAGGAAAAATAATGTGTTATATTTAAGGTCCTACCCCAATTTCGAAGAGAAAGCATCTTCTGCGCGTATGGCGTCAATTGTGTGCTCCAATTGAGGTGCTGTCCATTGGTACACTTGATAAGGCGTTGCTACCCTCTCAAATGCATGACGTAGGGTACGTTTCTTCTGCATTTGTTGGAAGGCACGTTTGAATGAAGGTGATATTTGCGAAAGCAGATCTATTAAGGAGTGACTTAAATGACTGGGATTGTCTGGTTTCGGATTGAATACATCGTCAGTCGATTGGTTGATGTAAAAGCCTTTGGGGCAAGCGGATATGTGAAAACGTTTGTCTTCCATTGTAACCACATATAAATACATCAGGTCTCCATGTAGCTTACGGGGACCAGGAGGTGGATTCCATGCGGATGTTGTGAGAACTTTCAAAGCTTGTGGTCCCTTCGAGTTTTTATTCACTCCGGGCTGCAATGGCTGCAAAGGTGCTTCCTTCACGCCCGGCATAATGTATTCTGGTGGCGTGCAGTCAACGGAATCAGGACGAGATTTTTTCTTTTCGAGCAAGTCTCCCTGTGTGATGGAGTGCAAGAATGTCAGCGAGTTACATTCAACGCCATTGTATGCGTCAGCTAGGTCCATACTCTTCAGCAAATCACGCACATGACGAACATGAATTCTTGCCTCCCGCATGGTGTATGGCTCCTCAACAACTTTTATGGTTGACCCATTTTTCAAACCTTCAATCGTTTTCAATTCAGCAAAGTTATCCAAAGTTGCACCATCTAATTGCAATGTGAAACAAGTGCGATGACAAGTGTCTTCCCTATCCATAAGTAATTGGTGGATTTCTTGGACGAGTTCCATGCTGGATAATTGAACTGACCACATTTCCGCACCAGGACTTTGAATGTTCACTGTAATGCCATTGTCATGTAAGGCATCCAAATTTATGTCCTCTTCGTACGTTTCCTCTCCTTCGGGAACAGATACCTCCTCCTTCTTTTCAACGTCTGTGACATCATTGGCATTTGTATCTGTAGAACCATTGGATGTCACTTCTGCTTTATTGTCTACGTTATGGCCATTGACCACTTTATCCGATTTAGATCCATTTTTCGAATTTTTTCCTACAAAATATTAGTTGTAAAATTATTAATTTATTAATGAATACAAAGTAATATCTGATCCGATTCGGAACCGGCAAGAATGGAAATATGTTACTATAAAAACCGATAAATTAGAAAAACTTGAATGCAAGATGAAGAGAGAACCTAAATTATTGTGTTTCTAATTGTGTGGTGGCAATCTTCAAGTAAATCATCCTATAGATGAGGCATTGACAAAGTTCAAAGGCCACATAGTTAACGATCATAAGTGGATTCAGGAACACATCCCAGGCCGCACTAGATACCTTACTTTGATTAAGTTCCTTAAGCCTTCAACTAGAGAAACAGACAATCAGGTCGAAGGGCACGTCTCAGAGAATTTTATCAATGGGGCAGTAAATCTTTTTGACACTCTGCGATCTTAGGTGGTGTGGAATGTATAAGAGGAGAAGTCAATTCTAATGACTACATATCACCACTGTTGAACTTCGACTTGTCATCCACACACTTGACACCTTTATGCGGTATATCCAAAACATAAAATGGTAAAGACTAGACTAAATGCATCATGGAAAAATATGTAGAGGCGCTTCTCTCAATAGAAACATGTTAGCATAAAAAGCACAATTACAGGCCAGTTTTACGGATAAAATTTTCTGTAAACCAAAAATTTCGAATCAAACTTGAATTCCATTGTTGCTTCCAATTAATTGAAAATTGCATTTACTTTTAAAACTATTTAACATTGGGGTGTATGTTGTTATGATGCCGTAATAGCAGAGGTAAATCTACTTAGTGTCAATATTTTGACTTGTCCTTTAGAAGTCTCTGATTTGGTATAGCTTTCTATGCATACGGTTCTAAGATGGAATGTGGGAGGGTACTGGGGTCTTCTGTTATATCCTTAATATACGTTAATCCTACAAACTTAGCAACGACTGTAGTGTGTTCCAGGCAAAAATCTTTGCGATTAAAATAAAAAATAAATCTATTATAGCGTTAAAACATCTAGCGTAGTATCATTGTAAAGTTAATTAATGCCATTGCTTTTATTCTATGCATTTTTGTGTGGGTCTTCGGCTAAAAATTGGAGCCATTTTACATAACAATATTATCGGGTGATACCAATATGGGACGGTTTGACTTCCAGGTTATCATATACAACAATTTCAATTACACTTGCCACCGGCGAATGAGCATGCCAAGCAATTGTGCTCTCAATTTACAAATCTCTATGGGAACTCTCTTAACAACATTCAATAAATACAAGTTTGTATACATGTTTTGGGATCACGAATCAATATGGATAGGGAAGGGATAATAAAATGCTAAACTGTTTCTACATCTTCTATTTGCATGTTACGTACCTACTTAATATTTAAAATTCAATATTGGAATTGCTATATTGTTGGACAAAAAAAAAAAAAAAAAAAACAAAAAAAAAAAAATTTGCCCGAGAATATGAATTACAACAAATTACATTTTTTTCGAAAATTCATATTATTTTATTTATTTATTTTTATTTATTTTCAATTGGTACAGAAACCTAGCCTTATTATAATATCCTTAATCCTAAAAGAATTACTTAAAATTAAACACTAAAACAAATTAACAAAAAAATGAATAAAATTAACAATTGATTGATGGTTCCAAGAACTCCTATACATGACTACTCAAAACTATTCATAACATCCTTAATCTTAAAAATAACATTAAAAAAATAACAAAAAAAAAAGATTAGCAAAAATCACAATTCATTGAAGATTTAGATAAATCAACTATGCAAGGAAAAAAACAAATTAACACAAGAAAACTATATATTTTAAACAATATTGAAATGAGCATATAATTTACGCCTATAACATTTTAGGGAAGAATTGAATGTCTTAAGATTAGGTGGCAGATTGTTGAAAATGCGAGCAATTCTTACATAGAAGGATTTTTCCAACAGAGGAGTCAAGCGTGGTATAACAATTTGCAGGTTCCTTACAGATCTCGAAAACTTAAAAAGGTCCAAAAGAGTAGAAGATGTCCTCAATTTAAAATGTTTGTAGAAGAACAACATTGACCTTAAATTCACAAAACACTCAAACGAACAACCAAGAAACTCTTTCACAGAAGGAGATATATGATCACGACGTTTGACACAAAAAACATATCGCATTACTCTATGAAACAATAGTTTTAACTTACGAAAAACAAAACCGTAGCTACCCCCAAAAATCTCAATACAATATAAAAAGTGAGGCATTATTAATGCATGTACCAACTAAATTCTAATCTTCTTAGGCAAAACTATGTCCAAGCAGTACAACTTCTTTAAAATAAAGTTAACTTTGGACACTAAAGAATTCACATGCACATCAAACACCAAACCAGAATCAAGTATTAATTAGTGACAAAACTTTAATAAAACAAGTAAAAAAAGCTTTAAGTTCGGCCGGGTCGAACTTTGAATACCCTCCATTATTTGGAACGAATTAAGCAATTCTCAAAAAAAAAAAAAAAATAAAATAAAATAAAATCCGTTAAAAATTCTGTTAAAATCTAAAAAATACCGAATGTAGCCATTATATTGGGGTCTATACGACGACATGGACCTGCATAGGTCATAAGCCATTACAATATTCAAATGCGAAACTATACGAAGAAATGGACCTGCACAGACAATTCTCTGTCTTAGGCTGTAGTATCCATTACGAACTTCAAATACCAAATTTGAAACAATTCCGGTTAATAATGTCGCTAAATCATTAGAATACCGAATATCGGAAGGTACCGTTATATGGGGGCTATAGAAGCCGTGGACCTGCCCAGACAATCTACTGTTATATGCTGTAGCATCCATCACGAACGTCAAATACCAAATTTGAAAAAATTCCGGTGAATAATGTCGCTAAAATCAACAAAGTACAGAATATTGTGGGGTACCGTTATATGGGGGCTATACAAAGACATGGACCTGCACAGACAATTTTCTGTAGGCTGCAGAATCCATTACGAACTTTAAAAATCAAATTTAAAACAATTCCGATAAATAATGTCGTTAAACCATCAAAATACCGAATATCGGGAGGTACCGTTATATGGGGGCTATACGAAGTCGCGGACCTGCCCAGACAATCTCCTGTTATAGGCTGTAGCATCCATCACGAACGTCAAATACCAAATTTGAAAGAATTCCGGTGAATAATGTCGCTAAAATCAACAAAGTACCGAATATTGTAGGGTACCGTTATATGTGGGCTATACGAAGACGTGGACCTGCACAGACAATTTTCTATCTTAGGCTTTAGTATCCATTTCGAACCTCAAATACCAAATTTGAAACAATTCCTATGAATATTGTCGCTAAAATCGACGAAATACCGAATATAGAGAGGTACCGTTATATGGGTGCTATACCAAAAGGTAGACCTACATGGCTCATTTTCAATACCAAAAGTCCTGCAGACATAATATACATTTGAGTAAAATTGTATCAATCTTCTTCAATTCGTTCGGAAGCTAAAGTGATTTCCACAGACGGACAGACATCGCTAAATCGACTAAGAATTTTGTGCTGATCAAGAATATATATACTTTGTGGGGTCTAAAATACATATTTCGAGGTGTTACAAACGGAATGACAAACTTAATATACCCTCCATACTATGGTTGAGGGTATAAAAACAGTGAACTTTTTTAAATATCCTCTAAAATGCGTTGTCACACCTAACCAAGTAAACTACGTTTTCAAATATAAATTATAATCAAGTAGCTAAATCTTAGGGTAAACTGGAATCTATTTAAATATTACAAAATAACTCCTATTCAGAATTATATTTGTAATTTTTTTCAAGTAAAATTTCATTTTATAGCTTAGTTTGGCCTCTTTGTAGATTTGTATATTCTAAGAAAAAATATGTTGAAATGTGTTATGTCTTTAAAGCAACGTGGATGTTATTTGATTATACACCTAAGTCTGTTTTTACACGGTAGATTGGTTCCAGAAGAAGCCGTGTAAAAAAAAACCGTGTAAAAAAGACATTGATCTTATACAAAAATGGGTGATTTGTTCCTAATCTCTAAAACCTATAAAAATTAGTGAAAAACAAGAATTTTTATTTTTTTCTTTACCAAACACGTCTTATTGCATTAACAGTTCACAAAATATTGACACGTTTCAATTGCTCTGACCAGTAAATTTTATTGTATGCACATAGGCTATTCACATTTGCTTTGATCAGTAAAAATTGTTTGTACGCGCTAAAGGGGAATTCACTTAAATCTTTAAGCTAGTGTTCGCAAACTATTGATGGTTTCAGACTTTTTTCTTTCATAAATACTTTTTTGTGATATGAACATACTTCGCAAAAATTAAATTTGACAAAAAAATTTAAGTACATAAAATTTCAAATCGTGCTAAATGGAATAAAATCGTGTAAATAAATTAAAAATATTCAATTTTCAAACCGTGTTATATCAAAACCGTGTACAAAAAGACCGTGTAAAAACAGACTTAGGTGTAATTGGCCAATGTATTAGCTATTTGGCTTCAATTAGAAAGTATTGAAATAATAAACGATTTTGCAATTTTTCGTATATATCATCTTAAGATAATAATTTTGTTTGACTTCTAGGAAAATATATTTCAAATGATTTATCAACACTGGTATATTAACATATTATTTATTTTATACTTGAGTTCCATCTTCAATGCGTAAAAGGGAATAATTGAAGCGGCCGTAGAAAAAAATTATATTCACCCACTTTATATTCTGGCAAACATCCTGAACAAGTGAAAAAGGGGTTTGCAGCAATGTAAAATGAGGAAGTCCTATTTATTTATTTTTCGACCTCCCCATTACGTAGGGATCGCGTAGGCATTGAAATACCAGCTGTAGAAAATCTATTGCTACTCATTTAAATACATAATTATTCATAATTATCCAGAATCTACTATTTTTACATTTTTTGTCGATATCATAAAGCGAAAATCGGTTATCGTAGTACAAAAATGTACATTATTGCAGTTCTGGAACAGACCAATTATGTCAATAGTACCAAAATCTACAATATCAAACAAAGAATTGAAGTCAAGACACATTCTACTTTTCACCAATAGAGTGATAACTGACAATACCTGCTTAATCTAAATGAGATTTATAATTCTGAAAGAAGAAATAAGGGAGTTCGAATGCACGTTACCATTAAGATTTTATACGCCATTATAGTATTGAACATAATACGTCTAATTAGGCAATAGAATTAATTTTAGTCTGCTAGTATAGGGCGGCAATGCAAAGTCACTGTCCAATGAAAATCTTTCAGCGCAAACAGCAGAGACTGTTTTTGCACCGATTCAATTTCATTACAGTAAATGGCATAATTAGGATCCCATACGACTGCAGCATATTCTAGTATAGGCCGAACAAGTGATAAAAATAATTGTTTGGTAACATACGGATCAGAGAATCCCTTAGGCCACCGTTTTATGAATCCTAAAACACCATTAGCTTTATTAACGATTGATATAATATTATTATTAAAAGACGATGATTTAGGACATTATTTATTCGAATTGTTTCAAATTTGGTATTTAAAGTTCGTAATGAATTCTACAGCCTAAGACAGAAAATTGTCTGTGCAGGTCCATGTCTTAGTATAGCCCCCATATAACGGTAACTCCCAATATTCGATAATTTGATGATTTTAGCTACATTATTAACCGATTTTTTTAAGTTTCGCATTTGAATATTGTAATGGCTTATGATCAATGCAGGTCCATGTCGTCGTATAGACCCTAATATAACGGCTACATTCTGTATTTTTAAGATTTTATCAGAATTTTTAACGGAATTTATTGTTTTTGAGAATTGCCAAATTCGTTCCAAATAGCTTTTGTACTTGTTTTATTGAAGTTTCATCACTAATAGGAATTTTCTTAAAAAATGAAATTTGTTGTAATTCATGCATTAAATAAGTGTTACATTTGTCCCAATGTATATTAGGGAGATAATTTTAGCTGCGCCAAGTTCGTGTTTGATGGAGAGAGAGGTAAAAGGAATGGAAATTGAAAACAATTGGCAATTCTCGGGCAAATCTTTTTTTGTTCTTTCATCCAAAAATAAAAATATCAACTACAATGTAGTTTAAATATTAAGTAGGTACGTAACATGGAAATAAAAGATGTAGAAATAGTTTAGCATTTTATTATCCCTTCCCTATCCATATTGATTCGTGATCCCAAAACATGCTCATAAGTCTCACTATACTATTTGATCAGTTTACGCATCATATACAAAATAAAACGAAAACAAAAACCAACATAACAACCCCCTCTCCACACAAGTCACGTGTAAATATATGTATATATCGACTATGTATACAAACTTGTATTTATTGAATGTTTTTAAGAGAGTTCCCATAGAGATTTGTAAATTGAGAGCACAATTGCTTGGCATGCTCATTCGCCGGTGGCAAGTGTAATTGAAATTGTTGTATATGATAACCTGGAAGTCAAACCGTCCCATATTGGTATCACCCGATAATATTGTTATGTAAAATTGCTCCAATTTGTAGCCGAAGACCCACACAAAAATGCATAGAATAAAAGCAATGGCATTAATTAACTTTACAATGATATTACGCTAGATGTTTTAACGCTACAAGTTTCACAACTTTTAATCAAGTGCTGGTAAAGAAAGTGGCAGCATGTAGAAATATGTACCTAGGCGATGCACGTGTTAATTGTAGGTTAAAACAACAACTATTGAATGAAATGGTATGCCGGCATATGCAAGCTCACATATGTACATGAATTTAACATGCCTCGACGACATACCACTCTTCACAATGGACGACTATCTAGGGCTATAATCAATATTGAGAAGTCCAACATCTAAAACAGCCAGCAGATAGCTCAGTTTGTACAACAATGGGCAAGATAGCTGACTAAAAATTACGTAATTGTTATGTGATTGTTTTTTTCCAAATCTTACATTATTATTGGGCGACATGTTCTTTATGGACACGAAGAATTACTTTAAATTGATAGAAGCCATCATAAATTTCTTGAATTCTGAAGATGCATCACTAAGTCCATTCACCTGAATTTATATATAGGCACGACATACATTCTAATTTAATGCTGAATGTGTATGTTTGAACATTATTTGATGTACCAACCTTTTTTTTTCAAATCGTTTGATTGTTCTCCTTTGGTAGCCTCGACAACTGGAGATTGATTGTTCATTGCTTTCTTATCTGTTTGAGATGTTCCATTGTTTTTATTGTCGTTTTCCAAAGCCATTCTATTACAGTTAATCTTTTCAATTTTTAATCGCAACTAATTTGAATGTCGTCGCTTCGAAGCTCTTTGGCCGATGAATGGATGTTACACAACTTCTCACGGAATTTCTTATTGGTAAAATTGAAATGTCAAAAAGATTTTTTCTGAACGTCGAATCAAACACTTATATATTTTCCGTTCACATCTGTTATTTTTTTCTTCTTGATAAAAAAAATTATTTATTTAAATTATATCAATTGAGCACAATTTTACCGAAATTCAATTATTCTTAAATCTCATGTGTCCTCATAGAGCTGACAAAGCATCGATGGCAATGCCGTAAATATCGATACTTTATTTGAAAGGAAGTATCGATTGATAATTGTTCCAATCGATATTGTTATATATCCCGGTCTGCTAGTAAAACAACTGTTGCCTTCAGGTAACTCATAACAACTGAGTGATGGTGTTTATTACATATGCTTACATCGATAGTAGTTTAGTAGTTACTGAATACGTAACGTATACAACACCTCTCCCCTCTCTTATAACAAAAATAATAAAATGAATTCAATAAAATACTATTAGCTAAAAACTCCGAACACTAATACCTTTCAATCCGTATCGATAACATAATCATTTAGTCGATGAGGTCGCCGTATATTCCTCCTAGGATTCGTTCTTATGTTGACTGCCTCGCCATTCCCTGCTGGCTCTTCAAATCCGATGAATGCTGACCCCGGAGAACTTGGGGGCGTTGCGAAGGACTGATCTCGATTGTCTGACATCACGCATTCGTCTGTTGCTTCTCGTTCCGCATTACTCATACTTGTAGGGTTCTCTCTCTTCTCCAAAGTCAAATCTGATGGCTCATAACTAGCACTATGTGTTTCCTCAACTTCGCTATCCAGCATTACTCTGCCATTAATCTTTCTCAATTGATCAATGTGTCTGTTCCAACACCTACCATCTTCCAGCCTCACTTTGTAATGCAAATCACCAATTCTCTCTCTTACTATTCCAGGCTTCCACTTAAGCTTATCCATATAATCCCGAGCCATTACAGCGTCTCCTACTGCTAACTCTCTTGTAGTTTTTTGTCTTTCGGGGTCTCGGACTTCATTGTTGGGCAGTAGGAGGTCCAATCTGCTTTGTATTTGTCGCCCAAACATTGTCATAGCTGGTGATTTATTCGTGACCGGGTGAATTGCTCGTCGATATGCCAATAAAATTTGATCAATTTTCCGCTGTAACTCCTCCTTACGAGGCATTGCCTTCAACTTGGTCTTGAAAGTTTGTATAAAACGTTCTGCTTGACCATTCGTTGCAGGGTGGTACGGTGCCCCCAACTTATGCATGATACCATTTTGTTTTAAAAACTCTTGAAATTTCGCGCTTTTGAACTGCGTCCCGTGGTCGCTGACTAGAATGTTTGGTATTCCAAATTGCGCAAATATACTTCTACATACTTCGATTGTTGTCTCCGTGGTAATGTCTCGAACTATCCTTACCTCCGGCCATTTACTAAAAGCATCCACCAGTACAAAAAAATATTTGCCCAAAAAGGGACCAGCGTAATCCACATGCACCCTTTCGAAAACTTTCTTCGGAGGTAACCAGCAATGAACCGGTTCTTTCTTTACATCTGGTCGCCCGATCTGGCATTCATAACAGTCAGCAACCGCTTTTTCAATGTCCTTATCTAAATTTTTCCACCAACAATACGCTCTGGCAAGTGACTTCATTTTTGATACACCAAAATGTCCCGAATGTAATTCTTGTATTATTCTAGTTCTCAGCGGTTTTGGCACATACACTCTTATGCCTCTTAATAAGCATCCTTGTTGCAAGCTAAATTCGGATGGGTCGATTCCAAAACTGTCGGCAGGATCACACTTCCGGCCATATGACAAACTGTCTACTAAACGTCTTACTTCCGCATCTTTTTTTGTGGCTTGTCCTAATTCCTTGACGGTGATTGGCAAATTCTCAATTAATTCCATTTCAATTTGATCAATCTCGCTGATTGTTTTGCTGCATTCATTTACAGGAAGCCTCGATAGCGCATCTGCATTCCCATTCTCCTTAGATTTACGCAAACGAATCTTGTAATCAAAAGATTCCAGGAATACTGCGTAATGTTGCATACGCGTTGCAGACAATACCGGTAATCCCTTGTCAGGCGCAAAAATCTGTGATATTGCTTTATTGTCGGTAATTAAAGTAAATTCCCTTCCATATACATATTGGAAAAACTTTTTTACCCCGAATATTACTGCGTATGCCTCCTTGTCTACTTGGCTATACCGTCTCTGTGTTGCATTTAAAGTTTGCGATGCAAACTGTATAGGTCTTTCCGTTCCATCGCCAAATTCGTGACTCAATACGGCTCCCACACCCGTAGGGCTCGCATCCACTGCCAATGTTAATTTTTTTCTTGGATCATAATGTGTCAGCACCACCTCTGATCCCACTTGTCTCTTTACTTCTTCGAAAGCCCATTTACATTTAGCATCAAAATTAAATGGAACTTCTTTGTGCAGTAATCGATTTAGAGGGTAAACTATAGAGCTCAAATTTTTTATAAAACGACCATAATAATTCACTAGTCCCAAAAATGATCGAACTTCGTCCTTGGTTGCCGGATATCTCATTTCTTGAATAGCCTTAATCTTGGCTGGTATCTTACGAATTCCTTGTCGATCAATCACATAACCACAATACTCAATACTCTCTCGCAGAAATTCCGACTTAGCAAGATTTATTCGCATATTGTATCGGTCTAATCTTTTTAACACCTCTTCTAACCGGTCTAAGTGTGTCCTCTCATCCTTGGCTGTTATTTTAATGTCATCCAGGAACACCTTAACACCCGGTATATCCGCTAATAACTGCTCCATTAATCTTTGCCACTGAGACGGGGCGCTAGCAACGCCAAACATTAATCTTGTTGGTTGAAATAATCCTTTGTGTGTGCTCAGGGTTAAGAACTTTTGGTCATCTGGATGTACTTCTAACTGCAGATATGCCTTGGACAAGTCAATCTTCGAATATTTTTCACCGCCTGCCATTGTACTAAACAATTCGTCGACTGTAGGCAATGGGTGCTTGTCCACCACTAAGACCGGATTGATCGTTATCTTGTAGTCTCCACAAATTCGTATCTTGTCATCTTTCTTTCTGACCACCACGATTGGTGTAGCCCACTCGCTACGTTCCACTTTTTCCAATAATCCAGCTTTTACTTGGTCATCTAATTCATCTTCCACTCTCTGCAACAGTGGAAAAGGTACTCGTCGCGCCTTCATACATTTCGGGACAGCATCGGTTTTAATATTCAAACGCGCCTGAAACCCCCTAATTTTGCCCACTGACTTCGAAAATAAATTTGGATATTTCTCCAAGATACTCCTTAACTGACCTTCCAAATTCGCCGACTCCTGAATTTTGTTTACGCTTACCGATGACACACTCTTTCCTTTTAACATCTTCAGCCAGTCCAATTTAACTAACCGCAGCCACTCTCTTCCCAGCAATGGTTTCCGATTGGCCCGTACTAAATACATTTTGACTTTTGTTATGTCTTTGGCTCTTACTTTCACCCATATGTATCCCGCGCAATCTATAGGCGTCTTGCAATAACTATAGAGTTCCAAATCTGGTTCATGAATTCGTATTTTCTTCGAAAAATATTTGTACGCATCGGCAAGACTTATGATGGTGACCGGCGCTCCCGTGTCAACTTCAAATGTGATATTACGATCATTTACTTCCAATGTACATAGAATTTTATCCCGTATGCTGGGGCTCTGTCCATTACTTTCCATCTTACACACTTCTTGCTCTGAGTCCTCCTTTCCACTGACTTCGCCGTCAGATATTTGTTTCATTGTAGATCTTGCTTTAAAACACACACGCCTTAAGTGGCCTCTCTTTCTGCAAAAATTGCATACAGAATTTATGTGACGGCAATCGTTTGAATTATGCTTACTGCTGCCACATCTGTCACAGTTTGTATTCAGTTTCGATCTCGCTCTTTGTTCTGTCTCTCTGACTCTTTTCTCCCTCTCTTTTGTCTTTCTCATATTCACCATGTCAACGGCTTCTTGCTGCTTATTCATTTCCTGGAACCCCTTTTCAGCTTGTTCAAACATGTTTGCCAAATGTATTGCATCATCTAATGTTAAATCGTCCTTTTCCAATAACCGGCCTTGAATCTTTCTGTTCCCTATGCCGTACACAAACTGGTTCCTCAGTGCTTTGTCCAGGTATTCACCAAATCCACAGCCCGTTGCTAGATGCCTCAAAGCCACTAAATATTCTGCGGCGGATTCTGTAGGTTCTTGCTTACGTGAGTGGAATTTAAAGTTCAAAAATATTTCATTGGGTTTAGGGTTATAATGCTTCTCCAGCAATTCACAAATATTATCATACTGCAATTCCTCTGGTATCAAGGGTAAAGCCTTGTCACATAGCTTATTATAAGCCTCTGTACCCATGAAATGTAATAGATATTTAGCCTTCATCGCCTCGCTCGTACCAAAAATCGCCAACGCCGTCTCAAATCTTTTCACCCAACGATTCCAGGTTGTAGCCTTTTCATCAAATGGCTCCATTTGAAAATTGCCACGCGGTTTTGGTTCACTCGTCGCCATAATTGTTATATATCCCGGTCTGCTAGTAAAACAACTGTTGCCTTCAGGTAACTCATAACAACTGAGTGATGGTGTTTATTACATATGCTTACATCGATAGTAGTTTAGTAGTTACTGAATACGTAACGTATACAACAGATATTAATTACACAGTAACATACACTGAGATAATTTGATCTATTTCAGGTCTCCCTAAAATAATAAAATAAGAGTCGAATAGTCTGTTCCAGAAAGGCAAGAATCTAAAAGTTTTTACTATGATAACCGGTTTTCGCTTTATGATATCGAAGAAAATTGCAAAATTAGTAGATTCTTGCAGGTTCTGAAACAAACCAGAAATATAATTCAAAACAAAACTAGTAGCTTGGTAGAATTAAGTCTAAAATCTATTTAAATCCGAAGAAGACCGTAAATGATGATCTCAAGCATGTGACTATTATAATTTTTGTGACAGGGATTGTAAAATTTTCCAACCGGACCTGCATTCCATCTTTACATCAGATTTTGAGTGTGCACAAGTACTGGGATGAGCAAAGTTTGAAAAGAATAGGATTAATATTTAACATTGTGTGAGGTTTATTGGTTTACAAAATTTTCACCTGTTGTGATGAAGATACCAGAAGAAATAACCACATTAGTAGTGAAATTCTCTAACTCAAGTAGTCGTTAAGACCTACCGATAGATACCAATGTTGTCAACTCTGACTTCTTTTTTATATCAAAAATTTGGGTTTTAAAGTTACCGATTTTTGTCGGTAACTCAAATAATGACTTAGAGAATCCCACTACAGATCTCGTGTTGGCAGAATTCATGGTAGAACTAAGAAGGTAAAGTCATGTAATCATATGTTTACAATTTTTTTTTCGAATTTATACGTTTGAAAACATCTCATTGTAAATATATATATTCATAAATCCATTGTATACACATAAAATCAGAGATGGGAACTTTTTTTATGCATTGAAATTTGACAAGGTAAGTTACAGAAAATGTAGAGCTGGGAATGCTAATTTGAAATGAAGTTACCTTTATTTATTGTACCATGGCAGAAATATTGAGATGTGTGAAATTTGAAGACAACTCTCTCTCCACAATTTAGGGAGGGAGGAATTTGCCTTTTATTGGCGTCATTGTTATTCAAAATTTTGACCTGCGGGAAGGTACCATCAGGAGTGGTCCGTTCTATATGTTTTTTTTTTAGTAGAATATTGGGATCTACGAAATTTAAATACAATTGGAGATACTGGAAGAATTGGGTCGATATTGTCCCTTTTCACATCTGACCGAGAATTGGAGACTTGAAATCTTCTCCTCTGGAATTTGTCCAACACCGATTTTCCCTTTATGATATCGAAATGCAAAACTACTAGTTTCTTGCATATACTAGAACAAAGCACTTGCGTGTTAAGATACACAAATGGCAGAAGAATTCAGGTAAATGCATCAACGCTTGGGAGCATTCATATGTCAAAAAATTTTAAATATTTTTTTCAAATATAAGTTGATTTTTACATATTTTCTTATACGACGTCATTCGGAGATTATTAAAATCCGCGTTTTTCAACAATTTTTGCAAATTTAAATAATTTTTCATTCAAAATTTTCAATTCCAAAATTGGTGTGACAGTTAATTGTCCCAGCAGCTGTGTCGATGCGTCTACCTATATTCTTCTACCATGGATACACACCTGGTACAATATAGGGAGCCTTATTTCAAATAATAATATCCAGCTCTTCATATGGATGAACTGGTTTCGTTTTTCACGGTTTTCAATTATTTATTCAAAATAAATGCAACAAGTTGTTTGATTTTTTATTGTTTTGATACTAATTCTGACATTACAAGCCAAACAGGTAGTGCAATTTTTTCAAAGTTGACCTACCTTCTCTTCATTGTACCATGAGGACAACCATGTTAAAATTAAGAAGACAGTCATTTCAAATAACCTTTGTCATTTTCTGTAATTTACCTTGTCACATTTCACTACATTTGTGTATGTACAATGGATTTATAAATATAACTTTTGACAATGAGATGTCAAATGAATAATTTAAAAAAAAAAATGCGAGTTATAAGCGCCTAGAGTTCCGTTAGTGTCTGGTGTATTTCCAGTGTAAGACTAACAAAGACAGAATGGATAACAATGTGAAGCTCAAGCGTCTCCGATTAGTTCAGCTACACACTAAAAATCAACCAATAAAGAGGAGATTCAGTCCCTTAGCTGGTGTAGGAATCTGCCCGTAGGCCTATGGCTGCTCTATTTGCGTTTTGTCCAAAGGCGAAGGTTATAAAATTTAAGGATTGTTGTTCGTGATGGAATAAAGTTTATAAATACAAAATTCGGTGATATCGATTCACTTTACATTGCCTTTGGAACTTTTAGATCCCTTATTCCAAACTCTCTTGTTTATAAATCCCTTATTATTGTTATGTTTTCTGTTTTGATTCCATATTTATTTTTTATTTTGTCATGCCTGGTTTTTCGTTTTACACCGTGTTGCCATATCCCGTTAATTACATTGTGCCTATTGAAAGTGCATCGAAAAACGGGAAGCGGTGTGTGTTTTTATTATTGTTTTCGTTGAGAAAAATTGAATAAAATAAATATAAGAATTCGTGTGATAATTGATTGAGGTGTTTATTTGAATAATAAATCAGTTCTCATTCATTGTATTTGGTTTATTTGAATAACGGTGTACTTCCCGAATCTAAAATCACACGCTTCTATGCGTTTGTGATGCGACGAAATATGTGGTTGAATCCAGTCCACTCGCGCTAGTCCTCCAAAATTCAGATCCTATTTTTAAATAATTAGGACCTATCCACAGAATTCTGACCGAGCCTTAGGGGGGCCCTTGATGATCTATGTCTCGGAACGCGACAATCAAAAAGACAACCATTTTGCATTGGACGAAATTGTAGACCTAAAAGCAAACAGCAATAATTCATAGAATATTTGAGCTATTTTGTATGTAAACTTTTTCATTAAAATAACTTTTTGCTTTATTTCTAGAAAAAAACTGGGTAATTGTTAAGATGTCACTTATTAAAAATTTGGTAAAAGAGCCGGAAAGAAAGGATTCCAAATCCGACAACGACAGCGATGGTGAAAAGAAACCGAAGCCAATGATAAAATCTGCCATTGATTTGCAACGTTTAAAACTTGAAAAACTTATGAAAAATCCAGTAAGTATTGAAAAATGCTACGAATTAAGCAGCCTGAAGTTTAATTGTAGATTCCGATTAAATACTAACAAACGTTAAAACTAGTAATAACAATGATACGTACTCTCTTCTCATAGGACAAGCCAGTCGTCATTCCTGAACACCGCAGAGAAAAAGACTATATGGCCAGCGTTCCTACGTTCGTGCGCAATGTTATGGGTTCCAGTGCGGGTGCAGGCTCCGGAGAGTTTCATGTGTACCGTCATTTGCGTCGCAAGGAATATGCTCGACAAAAAATGATTCAGCAAAAAAGCCTGCAAGAGCAATTAGACGACGAATATCAACAGAAAATAGAGGAAAATCGACGTAAAGCCGAGGAGAAAACTGCAAAGAAAAGAGCAAAACGCCTTAAGAAGAAGCAAAGAGCGAAAAAAGCTAGGCAACAGAAACCTTCTGGCGATGCGACAAAATGTAATGAAGACGATAACACTTCTAGCGATTGCAGTGATGACAACGAAGACAACCAGACCACTAATAACGAAAATGATGGCGAACCAACCTCATTATCCTCAAAGGAAGGGGAAGCAGAAGCTGCTGTTGATAACAAACAATCGGATGATGGTAATACGGATGATAGAACGAATAGTGAAAATCCTAACTCACCAGAAAATAAATTGAGACACGACAATGTTACAATATCTGAGTCGTCTATACTAGACGACAAAGTAGATAATGTTGAAAGCGTTAAACGGAATATAGACATTTGATATATAAAACATATACGTAATTAAAATAAAATCATAACCAATAATGACCATTTATTACCTTTGCATTTAAGTATGCGAAGACACGGTTACCTAGCGATTTAAAAAAATATATACATTTCAAGCTTGTAAACTAATTAATAAGTAGTAGCATACCATTGTTTGGCCTAAAAGGTATGTTATATTTTTTAAGGCAAAAGTAGATTCGAGTAGCATTCTCTGATTAGAGAGAAATTATCCTAGTCCATAATTTTACTTTTGAAAAAACACATATTGTAATGCTAATATTGATGACAACGATCAATTTGACTTAAAATCGAAAGATGTACTTTCAAGATTGAAAAAAAAATGAATTGCTGGAGTCCAATTGGGTATCATTTTAGATTCATATCTTTACGTGAAGCTCTAACATCAACATTTGCTGGTGACACTGATTTTATTAGATTATACAAGGATTCTATGAAAGAGTAGGAAAAATACAAAACCACGTAAATCTTCTTGAACATTTCCTGACAAAATGGATAGTATCAGTGCTCTAAGACCCGAATCTTGCCCACGATAAAAAAGACTCGCAAAATGATACCATAAAATATATCGTAATACACTTGGGCCGAAGACTTATATGGAAGCAACACATCACGTAAATAAAAAAATGCTAATCTAAATTCGTTAATCGGTATACATTCTTCTCTCGATGGCCCTTTAGACAGCTCTGAGTAACAGTTAGTACCTCTTATATAAGTAAATTATAAAGAAGACAATCGAGCTTTCTTCGATCTATTACAGGTGCACCTAAGTACATAAGAACACAACAACAATTCACAAGCACCTCACCAATCGTTGTAGATAAAATTAAGAAGAATTGATAAAGTAATTAAGCAATCGCTGGTGTGCCAAGGATACACTAAAAAAAACAATCAATCGCGTACTGACCTCTCATACACGCGAGAAACACTGAGATATTTGCAGAGTACCTGAAACAGCAGAGCATATAGTTTTTGGTTGCACGCATCTTGAGAAAATTAGTTGAAATTTTCGAGATTTTTTTCGATTTGAGACTTTTTATTTCCTATGTCTTGAGGGTATAACAAGTTCCTTTTGACCATAAGGTTTATAACACCTCGAAATATTGGTTCTATACTGAGGATGTTTTAAATCTCGCCAAACTGAGTTGATCTAGCTACGTGTGTCTGTCCAAATGCCCATCTTAATTTGTAACCACGCTACAGGTCGAAAATTTTGACAGTTTTGTAGAGGGACAGAAAATAAGCTTATTGTTTTTAAAAGGGATCACAAAATATTAAGGACATGGATCAAAAAATAAATATTTTCCTGATTTTGCAGTCTCTGTGATACTGCAGTGACCAGTCACCAAGATTATAAGATCAAACCTACTAAGTGATAGAAGGAAACATATTCCTCTTTTCGTAATTGGTTTCCAAGTGCGACCTTCCTCGATGAGAGATTTTTTGAAGCAGCTAACGTAATAGCTTATTAGTGATTTAATTGTTTCTTCAATCGACTGGGATCCGCGTCGAGCTATTTCATCAGCCACTTCATTCCCTACTATATTGCTGTTTCCTGGAACTTAACAAAGCTTAATGCGCCCTCTTGTTTCAATGGGGACTTTCTTGAAGTCAAGAGTGGCTCTCGATTTAATACACTTGACATGATAGCTTTGAGGACCGCTTGACTATCGACATATTCAGTCCTGCTGTGCTATTGCAGAGTTCTTTTACCATTTCGGCTGCCTTGGAAGAATCTCCGCCTGAAAAACGATACAATTGTCATTAAGCTTATACGCCAGCACCGGTACCTCCATCAATCCCAAGCATCCCAATCAGGTATGGTAACATCAGTATAATTGAAGTAGAAAAAGGTGGACACGTGATCACCAATCCTATTACCTTTACCTAAGATATTCCGACTAATTAGGATCTGAGTATGACCAAAACGTGAAGAGCGCCATCCACCAGCTTCCCATAGTCTCAGCTCACTTTTGTTGCTTGCAATCGCGCTAAAATATCCAGTGGCTGGAAGTTTAGAAGCACATCCGAAGCAAATTGGGAGGAATGTTTTTGAGAGCTCCGGTTGTCAGCAAGGACGGGGGTATCTGCACTGTGGTTGATTTGGGCATGAGTGCCCTGAATTATTTAATCGCATGCAGTTAGACGAAGGTTGTTTGTGACAAAATTCACTTATGACAATCCATCCCAATCTTTTGCTCCTAAGCTTACGCTAGCATATACCGGGTGAGATGAAAAAACTGCAACCAACTTCAGACTGCTGTCATTTCTAAGTCACTCGTCCGAAAGCTATTAAAATTATTCTAGTGACAGCTTATTATATTGCTTACAAGCGTACAATAGCATTTTGGTGAGAATTTTCCAGAAAAAAAGTTATTCGTGACGGAATTCAAGCGTGATAGTGTGATTTCTTTATATATTGGCTGGAAAATCACAAGTGGGTATCATTAGAGCACTTCAGGATTTAAATGTGAATAAGTCTTTTGTGTCTCGTACCATCGCTCGTTACCGTGATACTGGTAGCGTAGCCCGACGTCAAGGAAGTAGACGGAAGAAAAAGCAACATCAGCAGAAATGGTTCGAAAAGTAAAGAAGCGACTTGATCGAAACCCGCGACGCTGTGGCCGAAAAATGGCTCGTGAGCAATATTCCATTCGGCAATTATTGAAAAATGAGCTCGGTGTAAAGCCATTGAAATTCCAAAAAGTGCAAGAACTTACACCGTAATATTGTATGTATTATTAAAGCCTTGGGCACGCAGACATTGGACATTCCAACAAGACTCAGCATCATCACATCCAGCACATGGCTACAAAATGAGATTCCTCGCTTCATTTCTAGCGCACAATGACCACCAAACATCTCCGTAAACTAATCCGTTGGACTATTGTGTCTGGAGTATTTTGGAAACAAGCGCTTCGCCGGGAATGGGCCAAAATACAGCAGAGCAACATTCGGGCAGCGTGTGACGGTTTCATTGACCATTTGAAGGCCATAATTCGTCTCAAAGGTGACCAATTCGAACAAATCTAAACTTATTTTAAAATGTTATTCTATTTCCGACATTTTTGTTTTCATTCAATAAAATTTAAAAATTATGGCCTTTGACTTTCTTGCAGTTTTTTTATCTCACCCTGTACAATTGGTGTTCCTTTCTAATTTCTTTGTTGAATCACTACACTAACCCATATTAATAGTTATTGTAGACTACACTCCAAATTCTTTTGAAGTTTCAACAAAAGAAAGTTCCTTCAGCCCATTCAGTTATGTATTGTACCCTAAACCCCCCCCCCCCCCCCACCAAAAAAAAAACTCCCTCGTCTCAATTTTGTTTTTATTTCGAATGAATGTATATTGTTCTTATATTGCAAACATTAAATATATACTTTTGAACGCAAAGAAATCAAGAATGGATTTAAGATTTGTTTATATTTTATTCGGATAAATGACGCCATGACAATGTCTACATATTTAGTTTTTTTTTTTTCTCATATCTCTGTGTGAAATAAAATTATATGTATTTGGAAACAGTAATTGTTTTCACTACAATTTATAGATTTCCATAATAAAGCCTCATAATTACTGTTTCTTTTGAAATTTCATCATTTTGGTAGTTTATAATTGTTTTGTTTATTTTCTTCGGTCAATAGAATTGGTGGAATAGTTTTCTTAAGCATTTCATAATATATGTATGTGCATGATTTCCATTTGAGATTTTCTTCTTGTTTTTCATCTTTTTTGTGATAAATATTTTAACTATGACAAAATGTCAGCAACTAAAGAAAGCAGCTAATAATCAATAAATCCAGTTTTTTGTTTGTTTTGTTTTTGGATAACCAATAATGTAGACAAATTTACATTATTTACGACAAACAATATGAAAATGTGTCTGTGTCTATTAATAAAACTACAAAAGGGTTAAGATTTGTTTAGCCAAGTAAGATTATATTTTCACAATTTTGTTGTTGTTGTAGTTGATACTGTTTCCGTTTAATTCTCAAGATTAATTATGTAATTAGAACATATAACTATTGTTAATACATGTTTGAATTTCAATGATTTCGAGATTTATATTTATGTTGTGCTAAATTTTAATGCAAATAATGTGGGCACAAGAAAAAAAAATAGAAAATAATATAAAACATTCTCAAGGGAAATTAAATCGGATGCACAGAATTCGAAAGAAAATAAAGAATTATTGTAATTGGATTTCTACAATTGTTAAAAAAAAAAAAAAAAACATATAAAACAAATTTGTATTCACATAGTCATTGAGCATAATTTGATTCTACGTGGAACGGACGTCATTGTTTATCTCAGGTCGACTGGCTGCGGTTGGCTGTGGGAGTTCAGTTACTTGCATGTGCTTGCAGTGAGCGAGTTTTGTATTAAAGTTGGGATGAAAACACACAAAAATTATACAGTGTCGATTTTACAATATAACATAAATCAGTTGTCGTGTACACAAGATTTAGTTTTTTCTTCTGCTTCTTCTCTTTTTCTTTGTTGTTATTTAATTATTAGCTCTTTATAAGTAATGTAAATATAACTCGTCTTAAATAAAAAAGTCCTACTGTTTAAAGTACAAATTAAGATTAACTTAAAACTTCTACTTGAACTTGAATTTATTATAGAGACACATTTTCATTAAGTTTTATTTTCTTTTCTTTTTTTTTTTTCATTTTGTATAAAATCATAATTCTAATAATGATTGTATGTGTATGTATACATATATATAGAAATAATAATTAAAAATAATAATCCAGCAAGCGAAACTTAAAGTGTGTGTTGTTTACAATTACAATTAAAAGGCGTACACATAACATTCGATTAGAGTTCTACTCAATACTTACAAAATAAGAGAAAATGGTTTGAAACAAATCTGCCGACACTTCCCACTTTCTAATTTCGAAAATGTCGAGAATTGCTGTATATTCTATATCAACGTTCTAACGGGTGTCGGCAAATTGTCGTTTTTGCCTCACGAACAGATTTTACGCCTAAAGAAAAATGTGAGAATTTTGCACTTTCTAAAGCAACAATTGCGTTTGCCATGTTTTTGTGGTTGCTTTGTTTAAACGTAATTTTAGTTGGTAATCTATATTAAATAGAGATGAATCACAAGATTCTTAAATTGGTTTTTGAAATTAAAGTATAATCAATAAATATATATTTATGTATAGGTTGTGTGTGTGTGTGTATTTTATCTGCATTAATTGAAGTAAATTGTAGCTCTTAAACAATATATGTATTATTTTATTTTCATCTCCTGACATAGGGAGCACATAAATCAGCCGATCAGCCAAAAATATATCTGTCCCTATCTCTTACCCTTTATTAATTTTAATTACTATTGGCTTAACGACATTCCCAAACCTTAACCGTTGTATCTACGCTACCCGAAATGACATATGGATGTGTTTTGTGGAAATCTGAAAAAATAAATGAAACAAAAAGCGAATAAGTGATTGTGATTCATTTATGAATCGTAATGCGAAATGCACATGTACTTACCAACTGAAGTGCAGAAATGTTGATGCGCGGTTAGAGTTTTCGTGCATCGTTTGTTGCGTAAATCCCAAATTCGTATGGTTTTGTCGTCACTGGCTGATATTAAATATTTACCACCAGGATGGAAAGCCAATTCCCGCACCCAGTTGTCATGTCCAGTGAGTACAAATAAGCATATTCCAACACTCACGTCCCAGACCTGGAAATAGGGAAAATAGTAAACATTACAAAGAGTTCAAATGTGACAGGAATATGTGGAAATCTTATACAGTTGTTTGTTGCTTAAATGTTTGTTTTCAAGTTTCTGACAAAAATTTATAAAGTTAGGGTTATGTAACTGTGGCCTTTACTTTATAAGATTTTGTCTCCGCTACAACATTGTATCTACTTTAATCTTGTCGCTAACAATAAAAATTTGCATTTTCCGATAATACTTGATGACATCATTAACTACCGAATTCCCATTTGATACGGTCAAAACGTGCCTAGTCGAAATAACGGTTTTAGACCCTAGGTCTTTTTGGACCAAATCAGTTTCAGAACATTTGGAGTCGATCTAGCGATGTCCGTCCGTCCGCCTGTCTGGCTGGTGCGCACGGTAACTCTCGAAGGGAGTATCCGATTTGGTCTAAACTTGGAACACCGTAATATTTTTTTGTCAAACTGAGATCGAGTTCGGAGATGGGCAAATCGGTCCACTCCTTCTGGTACATTTCCCAAAAAAGATCGACATTAAAAAAAAATATATATTTTCTGCACAGAAAGAGAAGCGACAATCAGATTTTGCTCCAACTTTTCAAATCCAAATATTTGTCACAGTTCTAGGTCAGGTGAAAACGTGTATAATATCGGTTTCCGGTTCCTCCCCAACAAAGGGTCAACATTTTGAATAATTAAAACTCTTATAAAATGTGCTGTGAGAGGCCGATTGTCTTGAAATTCCACACATCCCTATATTTATATTAACCCAAGCTCTGGTGCGAAAGTGAAATATACCAGCCCACTTCTTCTGGTACCTCCCCCACAAATGGTCGAAATTTTCAAAAGAAATATATTTTTGCACAGAAAAACTTTTCAAATCCAAATATTTGTCACAGTTCTAGGTCAGGTGAAAACGTGTATAATATCGGTTTCCGGTTCCTCCCCAACAAAGGGTCAACATTTTGAATAATTAAAACTCTTATAAAATGTGCTGTGAGAGGCCGATTGTCTTGAAATTCCACACATCCCTATATTTATATTAACCCAAGCTCTGGTGCTAAAGTGGAATATACCGGCCCACTCCTTCTGGTACCTCCCCCACAAATGGTCGAAATTTTCAAAATCCGATCCGATAATCCGATTTTGCTATAACTTTGCCACTCCTAATATTTGCGAAAGTTCTAAGTCAGGTACAAAAATGGATAATATCGGTCCACTCCATCAAGTGCCTCCCCCACAAAGGGAGTTGTAAATAGTTACAACTCTTATAAAATGTGATGTAAGAGGCCGATTGTTTTGAAATTTCACACATCTCAATATTTATATTAACCCAAGCTCTGGTGTTAAGATGGAGTACGTCGGCCCACTCCTACTGGTAACTCCCCCCACAAAAGATCGACATTTTAAATATCCATTAAGCTCATAAAACGCGAATTTAACATTCGGTTCCATTTAGACTTTGTAGATCTGAATATATCTATCAACACAGGATCTGTTATAAAGATGGTAGAGATCAGACCATTCCTTCTGGTACCTCTTTGTATTTCACACATACAAACATAACACAAGATCTGTTGGGAAGATGGGATATATCGGTCCTCTCCCTCTGGAACCCCCCCCCCCCCCACAGAGGCTCAAAGTTTTGAATATCCATAAAGCACAACGGCCAATTCAATTCCAGATTTGGTACATCAACACAAGATCTGTTATAAAAATGATAGAGATTGGAGCACTCCTTTTGATACCTGCCCCACACAGGGTTCAAGATTTTGAAAAACAAAACGCTCAAAAAGGCAAAATAAGCATCCAACTCTCTTCACATGTCACACATACAAACATTTTTGCCAACAAAAGATCTGTTTTGAAGATGATCTATATCTGCGTATCCCTGGTACCAACCACATATCACAATTTTCATAACTTTTATCTGATATAACTTGCGAAACAAGTCAGCGATTCTTTACAACTTACTATATCTAAATATTTCTTTCAACCGGAAACCTGCGATGAATATGGCATTTATCGAAATTTATGATTTTGCTTAATATTGGATTTAAATGTTAGATTTTCTTGTAATTTTGCCCATACCAATATTTTTATCTGCATTAGATGATGTATGAAAATGGAATTCTTGGATCGACCATATCTGTCGTGGTACCAGACATTTTACGGTTTTCTGAAAATTATCACATATCACCATAAAGTGAACTAAGTAAACAATATAGTCCGATTCTGGCACGTCGTAATATTTATATTGGATCATCACAACAAAAGTCAAAATATATTTAAATCATCGAACATTGGCTGAGGGTATACATCTATCGGCGAAACCGACTGATACTTTTTAACTTGTTATACAGTTAAATTTGGTAATGTTAATTACAGACAATGCAGTACGCTTGCTTTTTTAAATTATTATATCTTCCAAATTATACAATGGTTTATTTCATCCCCTAAAAATATTGCAATCACCTTACAAAATGCTAAATCGGTCGCTTCTCGTGTAGATATGACAATCGATATATTAGAATGTGATCAAAGACCAACATTTCGAGGTGTATGGTACATTCACCACATTGTGTAGTAAGGTATGAATAATAATATGATACATAATTATATTGCGAAGATCAGTAACTTACGCGTATGGTTTTGTCCCTTGATCCAGATGCTAAGAATGGTCCTTGATGGTGACCTTTCTTGTTGTCTGCTCCTGCAGCTTCATTTATTGCAGACGAAGCAGCCTCTGGTGCCCAAGCAATGCACTCAACTGTGTGATCATGGTCGCGCAACTCAACCTTTAAAAAAAAATAAAATTTTCAAAGAAACTGAACCCAAGAGAATAAATCTTGATATAAACTTACTTTGCAGTCTTTTGAATTTATCGACCAAACACGAACTGTGTGATCAATTGAGCATGACGCAAACAAGTTACCTTCCATGTGAACGCGTACCATACGTACCCATTCTCTGTGGCCCACAAACGTTTTAACACAATATCTATAATGTAAACGTAATAACAATTTATAACTGCTCCAAGGGATATACCTCTCTTTAGGACGTACCCTGTGGCGACTTCCCACATTTTAATGGTTCTGTCACGTGACGCTGAAAGCACGTAGTCACCAGCTGGCACAAAAGCTACAGATGATACATTGTGATCATGTCCATGCATTGTTTTGACACATTCATAACTCTGCTGGAAATCCCATAATTTTATGGACAAATCAGCACTGCAAGATGCTGTCGAAATATAAGATATAGTATTCATTTTTTCTATACAATGCACCCATAGTATTTCAGCAACATACCAAGCAGTTTTCCTTGAGCATCGAATGCTATATCCTGCACGGAATTTGTGTGACCTTTGAGACTGCGTTCATATTCTCCAGTTTCGAAGTCCCATATTTTAATGACCGCATCTTCGGATGCTGATACCATTAGACTGAAGATTGGATGAAATATTACCTAAAATGGGACTACATTAGCAAAGAATTTGATTGCAATTGTTAGCTGACGTCTATTACTCGTGTTATGCTGGCACGATGTCCTGATAGTGAAAACTTTTCAGGTGGTCTGGGTATCCATTCGCCTGGTTTACGGTCAACTTTTGTTGGAGCACCCTCTATAACTTCTTTTTGGGTTTCAGCAAGTTTAGCCTCAAGGTCCAATACTTTCTTTTGTAAACGTATAACAGATGTCCACTTCTTCTCCAGCAGACCACAAAACTTCTTTTCGGTTTCACCACTGAGATCGGCTTCTTTGCGGAAAGCTTCCAAAGACTCTGAATATCCATTACTGCCTAAATAATCGGCAATCGCTTGGTTACTAAAATTATACAATGTCAATATTATTATTATTATTGAAACACGTATAATTGGTTTATTTGTTTAAAACTTACAGCTCCTCGCGCTGCCGTTGCGACAACACCATTTTCATGCTGTTCTCAGTTAAAGTAGGAGTTGTGTTATTCCTCACTGATAAATGTCACAATTTTAGAAATGTCAAATTATTCTTTGTATATATTCCTTAGTGCACAGCACTTTTGGGATATCTGAAATAATAACAATAGAAAAGTAAATATAGTCTATTAAACATATGAACGAAAATGTAACATATTTATCATTTCATTATTGTTATTCTTATTTTTATTTATTTAGAAGGAAGAAGAGTTCGATCGATCGAACGACTTTCTCAGAAGACGGGGAAAGCTGAGCTGGAACTCAATGTCTCATTAAATATTTTTAGTTAAATAAAGGAGTAGAGAAAGTTGTCATTTGAGTCAAGCAGCTAGCAACCATTCCAGTCTAGTTGTGCATCCTTAAACCACACTAGGAACTTCATTTCATCACAGTGCCTGATTTTATATTATACTATGTAACCAGTAAGGGAAGCTCAAAAGTCGGGCGGAGCCGACTATATGATACCCTACACCACTATGCATATTTAGTAGAGCAGTCCTAAAAGAAAGGTTTATATTGCAATTTTTGAGCTCTATGCCATATCTCGTGCAAAATATCATTATGATAGAGTGCATATTCCGAAAGTAGGAGACTTAAACACCAAATCGGATAAAAAATATATATGCTAAACTCGGTTGAAATGCGAAAATTCACACCATTTAGACTAATATTAGCCATTTGGTGCACAATAAACCTGAAATCGAATAATGATATATATGGGAGCTATATCCAAATCTGAACCAATCTTTATAAAATTGAAAACAGCTATTTCTTGGCTGCATCTGATATCTGGTACCAAATGTTATTTTTGTATAGTGCATTTTACGAATTTGAGGAACTTAAACACCAAATCGGATGAATCATATATATATGGGAGATATAGCTATATCTAAACCGAAAGTTTAAAGTACACGCTTGTACGCTGAATTCGGTAGGAAATGCCAAATTTCACTCCATTTGGACAGATATTAGCCATTTGGGGCACAATAAACCTGAAATCGGCCGTAGGAGCTATATCCAAATTTGTACCGATTTTCACCAATTTCAATAGGGTTCGTCCTTGAGCCATACCAATGTTATTTGGAAATTTTCATCTCAATCGAATAATAACTGCGACCTGCATTTTTTGCAAAAATGCATGGACAGAAGGACATGAATAAATCGACTCAAATTGTGATTCCACCAAAAGGAACTATGGATCTATCTTGTTCCCTTCTCCATGTTACAAACAAATGCACAAGACATAATACCCTTACCACTATGTGGTGTAGGGTATAAAAAATTGCTATTAACAGGTAGTCATCAATTTGTCTGACCTACCTTTACAATTGGTAAATTTGGCCAATGAAAACTTTCTAGCAGCAAGCGATGTGTTACACACGTTGTCACAGTTCAGTTTATTTTCTTATATTCCGATATGTTCTTGTATATCTCGATATAAATTTAATACGTATCGATTTAGTTCCATTTATCTCAACAAACTTTTTGGAATAGTCAGTGCTTGTAATAAGCTTCCATGTAAAAATGTTTAAGATTTTTGCATTTATATTAAAATTATTTAAAGAAGGAACCAAAGTACATGAACAAATCAAAAACTTTTTTTGTCCAGAATTTATTTTTTAGATTCGCCAAATTATAACTTTATGCCTGCTTTCGTTTTCACCATAGGATCTATCGCATTGTTAGCATTTAAACGCCTATCTCTACTCTTCCCATGAGACGACAGCAAATGCGAAGTAGGAGAACTGATTTTTCATTGTTTTAGTCGTTTTTCATTTCAAACATAGCGGCTTAAAAAACACAACCATAAAAAATTGTCACCAAACAGACTTTATTTTTCTTTTCTTTTGTGTGATTTTATTTTGTATTATTTTCTTTCTCTTCGGATCTATAAAAATACCATGAAAACTTATTAAGTGGTGGTGAATCAAATTATGGAGACAGGTGCTGATGTCACATAGATATTTTTACACGACCATCCGTAATACACAAATCGAATTTCAATAAATTTTGATTATTTCATATCGCGCTGACGAGTTATTTAGGCAGTCTGTCTGCACAAACTAAATAATATTGGTTGAAACAGATACAGAATAAAAAAATGACAACAAAAAAACTGTGTTTTAATTCTTGTTTTGCAAAATATTTACTGGCGTTTTAATCTCTGAGCTCAGCTGGCAGACGACGATTAATGAATGAGTCATAAGAAAAAATCTCCAAAATATTGTCAGAGAGTACAAGTATACAGCAATGACAGCGCATTCTATTAGACCATAAGAACGTGCTTTGCTATTGTTGTTGCGTTCACATTTTTCTCTTTTGTTAGCCCTCTCTCATGAACACCACCAACAAACCAAACCAAACCAAACCACCATCCAGGAAACGAATAACCAAACAACCAGTCGGTTCACCACTACCGTAGGGACCGACTTTATTGCCCAAACATTAAGAAAAAGCACAAATAAAACTGCCAGCAATGAATGTGGCTAGCAAAACAAAACAAACATAATCTATATTCAGAATCAAAGCGAGATTAGATTAAAAAAAAAACTTAACTTAGTATCTCCAACTCAATGTGTTGAAAAAAGTAAATGGGCGATAATAAAGCAAGCACTAATGGAAAGCGTTTTTACTTTTTAATAAACTAAATGGGTATAAACCAACTATAGTAGGTGGTGGTCATTTTTAAAAAGCAGAAAAAAACTATGCAAGTGGCTTATTAAAGTCGTAATACAGTTTGTTCAGCTAAATTACCTAGTCAACGGTAATGTCTCTCTGTAGCTTCTCGCAATTTCGCCGAGAAAATGTTACAACTTCATAATCGATTTAAAAAAGGAATCATTAGCATGAATATATGTATACCGATAAGCTGTGACGTAGACAAATGCGACAACTGTTATTGGAGGGTGGTTAATGGACATGCGCGTTATTGGGAAAAGAGATTTATAAGACTTCCTTTGGGTTTCAATTTGTTATTTTATGCTGCACCATGGTCCATGAAATGCCACATGTCCTTTATTTTGCAATCAAAATCAAATTTTGCAAAAATCTAGTTCAGTCATTGATTATTCAAAAAACAAAAAAAAATTGATATATTTTTGTCGCCGCATCGCTCCGTATGATGAGTGGGCGTATTTTTGAATTGTAAATTCAGTTATTCATTTAATTCGCATTTACATTAAAATATATGTTCGAAAAGTTTTATGATAATTATTAAAAATCAGAATGGCTAAGTTTAGATTTTGTGGCATATCATAAAAAATGTTTAATTTTTTTAATCGATCTAAGAATAAATGTAAAACGGACTAGGGTATAACTGTTTAAAGAAGAAATGCCAAACATTTATTTCTTATTAATTTATTTCGTGCGCCATACACATATGTGTATTCTTTTTTTTTTTTTTTTTTTTTTTGAGACCTAAATTATATTGACCGAGACCTTGCACTTGGGTAAAAACAAAGCCGACTTTTTCATTCGTTTCGCACATAAAATTATCTTTGCGTGATTACGGAAAACATGTGATGGAATTGAGGTTTTCCTTAAAAATAAATTGACAAACAAGACCAGTATGTAATGACCAAAGCGGTTTTAACTTTGATTTAATGCTTCATTATTTCAATACGAAATTTGCAACATTCCACACTTTTTAAGGTATTTACAATTATTTTTATGCTGTTTCTTTTCGATGGATATTTTGCGATATACTCGAAGCTGTTTTAACAACAATTGGGTGTGAATACAGTCATAATATACGAAATGTTCAACACGCGCGCTTGAAAAACAGGGTCGACTTCCGAAGACGACGTATAAACAATAACTAAAACAGAGAAATAATAATGGGGAAAAAGGGAACAGACAATATTCGCATTGCATTCGTAAGTGATAGTGGTGCGGTGGCTGCGTTTCACTCACTTCTCAGCTAGAATTATACGATAAAAAATACAACTTTACTAGATGGTGGCTAAAGTATTGAAATGCGTCCTGACTTATTTGGCCCTATTAAATCTTTTCAATGATAAGACAATCAAAATCTACTGTTGTAAAAGTTTTATTGATAATGCAAAAGATGCATAGTAGATAATTGACTGATTTTGAACGGATATTGTTATGTGTTGCCATTTCAGTTATGCGCAATTCCCTGTTATGCATTTTTCCAAATTAGAACTCCCAAGACTGAATCTATACTGAATATTTTCAGCGAGGGGAGACACGAAAATTGGAATATGAACATATCCGCCACTAATTCAACGGCCACACTCTTTACCATATGGTCTGTGGAGATGAGAACACGAACTACCCTATTAGTAACATTTAACAGCATGTTCAAGTCGTCCGCGCAAGCCACAGATATCTGCGATGAAAATAAAGTAGGAACAAGGTCCTCAAGGGGTACGGACGAGGAGACCTTGCTGGTCTCTTATAACACGATAGGTAGGTCTGTGGTCAGCTATACATCCCCAGAGAGGTCTGCGAATATACAGGGTGAGATGAAAAAACTGCAACGAACTTCAGACTGCTGTCATTTCTAAACTACTCGTCCGACAGCTGTTAAAATTATACCAATGACAGCTCATTATATTGTTTACAAGCGTACAAAAGCATTTTGGTGAGAAATTGCCAGAAAAAAGTTATTTGTGATAGTGTGAAATTCTGCCCTGAGAACTACGACAGGGTGCCTCCTCATGACACCAGTGGTCCACATCAACATGAAGAGGCGAAAGTCCTCCCCGTGCGCAGCCATAGGCTTTCGTTGCCGTACCTGCTCGGGTTTTATCGCGGGAGTCATCCATCATATGGTGGATAAATTTCCCCCATCCAGGAGTGTTAAGGACATACATGATCTAGAGCTAAGAGAGCATCTAGATCAAGAAGCCTATCAGACAGGTCTGAGTGACATTCATACTGATACAGTCACGATGCCATCAACAATTACAGTACGAATGCCGTCCTCGGCATCCACCCCTCATCCATTGGAGCTGAAGAACGTCGCCGGCCTGGACAAACCAGTTTTCATAAATTGTTGGGCACGAATTGACGAAGATAAACGAAACGTCTGCCGTGTTGTGATATAGTCCCTCACAACACGCTGCACCTACTAAATTGGCATGTCAATCCCTCCTCACTCACTCCAGAACATCTTTGGAACATTCACGAAAGTAGAATTTTGAAATTAGCAAGAATCGTACAGATTTAGTCAACGGACTTGATTTTAGAAAAAATATTTTGAAATTACTTATTGGAAAATATCTGCTTTTGCATTTATGTTCAACTGTGCAAATAATGACATTGTACACCGCTTGTTCTTGGAATTTAGTAATTTTACTTTGACATGAATCTACGATGAATTCTTTGTGTGTGAAGAATGACTTGTAGGATTAAAACAAGTAAAAACGGAGTTATGTTCAGCCGGCCGATATATATTTTATACCCTCAATCATAATGGAATATTGAGGAGTTTTATGTGAATTAAAAAAGGAAAACAAAAAACACCAGGATGCATCGATAGAGAGTCTAACCTCATAGAAGACGAACATTGGTTGTATTGTGGGTTTAATTTGTGGCTGAAGATAACCCTTCATCTAATGATATACTAAAATAATATAATCAAAACTTGCTACTCATGTTATTTTAATCGAACTTAACACTATAACGAATTGACTTTTAGTATTGAAAATGTTCGGTATTATGGTGATTTAAGTGACAATATTCACCGGAAATGTTTCAAATTTGCTATTTGGGTACAAGCAGACTACAGCAGTAAATTGTCTGTGCAGGACCACTTCTTCGAATAGCCCTCATATAACGGTACTTCCCGATATTTTGATGATTTTAGCGACATTATTAACGGAATTGTTTCCAATTTGGTATTTAAGGTTCGTATCGGATGCTACAGCTTATGACAGAAAATTGTCTGTGCAAGTCCACGTCCTCATATAGCCCCCATATAACGGTACCTCCCGATATTCGATACTTTGATGATTTTAGCGACATTATTCAACGGAATTGTTTCAAATTTGGTGATTGAAGTACGTAATGGATACTACAGCCTATGACAGAAAATTGTGCAAGTCCACGTCTTCGCATAGCCCTCATATAATGGTACCTTCCGATATTCGGTATTTTGATGAATTTAGCGACCTTATTCACCGGTATTGTTTCAAATTTGTTGTCTGAATTTCGTAATGGATACTACAGCCTATGACAGAAAATTGTCTGTACAGGTCCACGTGTTCGTATAGCACCATATGGTGGAGGGTATTCAAAGATCGGCCCGTCCGAACTTACAGGTTTTTTTTACTTGTTTACTATTTTCAAATTGTTTTCCAAAAAAGTTTCGCATCACTATGGAAAATAAATATTATATTATAAATAACAGTATCAGGATACAATATTCGAACGAGTTTTATTTTAAACCATAAAGAGACTAGACGAAAACTTGGATCGATATAGTACGTTGTCAATTCCAACCATTCTAAACAAAATGCAAACGGGCATTCTTATATCGACTTAAAAATTTACACTGAAAACGAAAATATATAATATTATGGAGTTTCTACCGAATAT